CTTGGTCTATAACCGATGTTCCTGTATAAAGGATAAAATCTTTGAGTAAAAATGGTCTGAATCATGCTTTAAAATCTATTTACTTTGAACAGTTTGAGAACAAGTTGGAAAAAGTGGGATATTCCCTGTTTTCAGGGAACACCCCAGTTTTCTAGTGTTTAAAAAAAACAATTTACAGTGACTTCCTTTTTCTATTTGATTTGATTTTCTATCATGAAATATACAAAAGGGCACGTTTTAACTGCATCAGTAGAATTTGTAAATACTTTTATTTAAAAAAGTATTCCAGGAACTACAAAACATGAATAAGTGAAGCCTTGTTTATTTCTAGAACTCAAAAGACATACAAATCTTAGGAATCAATTGACCAAGCTGCATGCTCCAGGTTTAGCTGACCATAACTGAATTATGTTCACTTCTATTGGAAATGTCTATTCATTGAATTTTCATGCCCAAGTGATTAACTTATCTTTTTGTCATCTCATAATTGATGATCAAGGCATACATTGGTGAACAAAGGAATTTTTTTGTTGTGAGTTACACATAAACATAAGACTTGAAATTGGCTTGATTTTTGAACAAATGAAAACACTTGCTACATAAAACATAGTTATCACACGTAAAAGGTGCACTTTTGTAGATCTCATACCATAAACTGACTTAATAAAAATAGAATTCCCTGCATACTGGGGGTTTTTTAACACCAGAAAACTGTGGTGTGCCCTGAATACAGGGAATACCCCACTTTTCCTGACTTGAGCCCAACCTGTTGAATTTTGTACAAATTAAATATGGAAAACCATATCAAGGAATAAAATAAAATAATTTGCCTACCTACCTACCCATACCCTGAAAACCTCAGTCGGGAAGGGGAAACACAGATATTTTTAATGTTGGCCCTATAATGATGCGACCATTAAATATAATGTTGTAACCACTGCTTATAATGTTTTAACCCCTGCATATAATATTGTGACCACTGCATATAATGTTGTCACGACTGCATATAATGCTGTGATCACTGCATATAGTGTTGTGACCACTGCATTTAATGTTGTCACGACAGCATACAATGCTGTGACCACTTCATATAATGCTGTCACGACTGCATATAATATTGTGACCGCTTCATATAATGCTGTGATCACTGCATATAATGTTGTCACGACTGCATATAATGCTGTGATCACTGCACATAATGTTGTGACCACTGCATATGATGTTGTGACCACTGCATATAATGTTGTCACGATTGCATATAATGCTGTGACCACTTCATATAATGCTGTCACGACTGCATATAATGCTGTGACCACTTCATATAATGCTGTGATCACTGCATATTATGATGATCACAAAATTAAGCAGTCATTGCGTTAATTACAAGTACATGTACTTGCATGATTAAAAAACACTGCGAAGCGCGGTTCTAAATTACACTGATATGACACATATAATGGAAAATTAACTCCTAAATGTTTATTTTCTGGTAAGATTTTTACAAATTAATATTCATTCATATCTGCGTTGACTGCATATACATGTATGATTGTAAACTGGGCACCTTTTGAATTTCATTTAGATTAATATTATTATATATATTTAAATGATCGAACTAGCAATGAGTTCTTTTTTGAAAAAAAATTGTTTTGTCAAATTTTTTAAATTCTTTCATAGGTTTTGAAGTTTGACTGTACCTGTAAAAACTTATTACAAACGGGATATGCCATCTTAAATTTCACGGTGATGTCGTTTGTAGACCCCGTACATTTACATACGACCAATGTTAACTTATTAATCCTTAACCTATTCCTAAAGGTTATCAATATAACATCGTAGTAAGATCTTTGTACATTGTCTTTTTCGGTACAAACATTGATATTGTTTTTAATGAGTTATATGATGCTATACAGATATGAAAACTTATGGTCCTACATCATGTCGATAAAATTATTGTAGCATTGCACAGGGTCCTGCTTTTCTCATTATTTTTATAACATCTTTACGTTGGATATGTACTAGTTGATGTTTCAGTATGGGAAAATATTATGGTTTATTATATACTTAGTAGTAAATACAGATACATTGTATGTGTAATACAATCATTGGCAAGCTTGCTGTATCAGTCACCCGTGATGATATCGATATCAGCACGATTGCAAAGGCTTTATCAAACCCCTTATTTGTATGACGTCATGTCATTACGTCATAACGCTACTTTTTCAAAGATTGACGATGTTGACGGTGATGATGTAGCAAACTTTGAAATTTATACCGAAGAATTTGTACTGTCTATGAGTTGTTTAAAGTATATAATAAAGTGTATATGATATGGCTTTTTCAATATCACACACGGTATCAACCCTCAACCAATATAATCCTTCGAGCAGAGCTCTCATGATTATATTGGTGTCTCGGGTTGATACGGGTGTGATATTGAAAATGCCATATAATATTCTCTATTTATTGACTTTGTACTAACTTCCATTTACTGCAAGAACTCTGAGATAGGCATTTTGTGTCTTTTGATTTTTTTCCCAATTGTTTTTTTTTTACTGTTCGTGACGATCTGATTAGTCAAGATATTTCCTGATTGTTACCGGGTATTTTTTCTTATGTTCAGCTGTTGCGCAACTATCCCAGGTTAACGTACGTATTTATTTGATTTTAACTAAAACAACTAACTTATGATTTTGTACAATATTTTTCGGCATAAACTACATGTTCTATAAATAACTAACAGAACAGAACATAAGAACATTGAAAACTTGTTATAATATAAATTATTGAAAACCGAAGGAGTTTTTATAAATCTATGCCTCTTCCATTCATACGGTTTATAACATTACTAAAACTATTATTATTTAAACATCAATGAACTGAACTTTGTATTAACAAGTTATCAAATGGAAATAGAATGAAACGTCATGTCAATGTTGTTTATCATTGAAAATAAATCATATTGAAGTATCTGTATCCTTTAGAGAACACATATAATCATATTTAGCATTAAGTGATGACAAAATGAGTAGTTGATCACTTCGTGTATCTAGTCCTCATATAGTGGGTGCGTTTCTCTTGAATTAATCTGCTTACCAGTTGTATTTGAGGTTTTTCTTATCAATTTATCGATGGTTATCAGCCCACAAAACGTTGTTTTCTTTTTTCTCTATGTATTTCCTTCTTTTTTTCTTTTCTTTTCTTTCTTTCTTTCTTTTATTTTTTTCGTTTGCAAAGGATATAGATATTTTTTTGATATCAACTGTCTATCTTATTGACTTTTACAATTTTTCTAAAATCCAAACGTAGATGATTGTTGCTGGCCTCCTTGGCGTGTATACCCTAAAACCCCTTTCATACATATTGTACTTTCTTTAAAAATGTTTGATTTTTGCGTGAACCTCCGGGTCAAATCTTTAATAGTATATCAAAAATGCCGAGCTGAATTATATTGACGTAGAGAACACGATAATTATGGAATATAAAACAATAAATGAAGAAACCTTTTCTCCAGACGATTATTGGCTATAAATATAATGGTCTGATGTTCTGAATATAGACTTTTATTTCTTTCAAATTGAACATAAAAACTGATCTATAATTCTATATTTCGAATTGATGATAAAATGTAAGGTCGGTAGCAGGACATGTATATTTTATAAATGCAAATCAATATAAAGACTATATAATGGCTTTTAAACTTGTAGTTACAGAAAATATTAAATAAACCTAGTGAGTAATCTCCCCAAACCCACGTCACCCTAAAAAGATCGGCCGGGAAAGGGAGGGGGACTTATACCTGCTAGCATAGTATTTCTGCTTACTTTTTAATGCAATTCTCTTTTCTTTTAATTTCTAAGTAATACTGTCTTAAAATCGATCATAACTAATATATTTATTGAATAGTTCCCCTCATTAATTATTTCTAATTATCAAACTAACATGGTATGTATTATTACAAATCATCTTCCACATTTAGAAAAGGATCTGATAAAAAGAAGATCGCATCCTGGTGACAAGAATTAATCTTTTCTATTCTTTTTCATCCCAACAATGGTCTACCATTGGAGATTTTTTATATTATCTTAGTCATCAAAATCCTTTGATGAGCGGAAACCATCATGCAAGTTTGAAGAGAACCTGGTTAAAATTGAGGGTTCTATCACAATGAGAATTGATATGTTTTATCAACTCCCCTCAAAGAAAATAGTTCCCCATTTCAGGTGTTTCTGATGATCAAATTCATCATTGGTTTTAATGAGTAGAAACCTTTATAGAAACATGATGAGGATAACAAAATATACAGGCTACAATAATTAATATTGGATATTTCTACTAGTCTCCCTACCTAAAAATGGTTTTCATTTCAAAACTTTTTTATAATCAAACTCATTCGAAAATTGTTGATGAGTGAAAACCTTTATCCAAGTTTGAATAGGATTCAACAAACGATCGATTTTATTAATTTGTGCCGTACATGACAACTCGGTGTTCAAACTGGTCCGACTTGTCTTTCACACTGGTTCGAGTTGTCTTTAAATTGGTACAAGCTGTCTTGGTCCGAGTTGTCTTTGGTCCGAGTTGTTTTGATTCCGTTTCATTAATGTTAATTAACCCTACATCTCTATTCATATAAACATAAGGAGAACTGGTTTGCTTGCCAATGAGACAACTACCCACACCAGAGTTCAAATGACAAAGATATAAGCAAGTACAGGTCACTGTACGTCATTCAACAACGAACGAGAAAAACCCATACCTTGTAGTCAGCTATAAAAGGGACCGACATGAAAAATGTGAAACAATTTAAACGAGAAGACTAACAGCATAACTTTAAATAATACAATTTACGAATAACAAATATGACGGACAACCACCAAATAACATGCGCTTAACTCGGGACGGGCACATAGAGAATGTGACAGGGTTAAACGTGTCTGTGAGCGCCCAACCCTCTCCTAAACTGGGGAAGCAACAACAACAACACAACACAAGATGGCTTTACTTAATAGATCTGTACTAAACTCAAAAAATAAAGTAACATAACAACAATAGACACAGTTACTGACGGCTAGTTCAAAGCCAATTTATACAACTTATTAAGAAAAACATGTTCTCTCCAAGACTTAAGTATTATTATTTATTTTGTATATCTAAATCATACTGGTACGGCCCTTTTAGTGAGCGCAAGTACGCTTCTGCTAAATTTTTTATCTAATCGAAGCTGCTCCCATATATGGGGTGGCTATGTTGGGTTTTTTTTTACTGCTGCATTGAAAGAATCCCAACATTTACTTTTCTTCCCTTTTAGTTAAATGAATGCTGCTATACTGCTTTCGGAAACGTGACGCTCAACGTCACACTTTTATATTAAATAAGATATAATGTTACACAAAATACCAGTGGAGCAAAGAATTCATGAATATTAATTTATCAAAATGTCTAAGTTATCATGAATTTGATTTCAAATTTCAAATTAATTGCAGGATCCATGACATTGGATAACTGCTCAAACAAGATTGGTGTAGATGCCAGCTGTTAAAGTATATGAAATATTAAGTATTTTGTGAAATCGAGACGTTACACCTTAAAATGTTTGATAAATAGACCGATATACGGTTTCTCTATTCGTCATCATTTTTAAATTACGCTTTTTATTTAAGAAGTATCCATTTAAATATTTAGTATATCGTTTCTGATTAACACTGACTATCGAATTGGAATTGCTGTAACTACTAGATCAGTTTGCCAATGTGATATAAAGCACAACTGAAAATCCTTTGTTGGTCATATTCAATGGCATATTCAATTTATCCTTTGCATTATTAAAATAATTTTACAACATATGGTCAACTATTTCATTTAGAATCATTCCTTTTTGTAAGTGCGTGTCTAGTATTACATGGAATATGTAGGAAGTATCAACCAGTTCACTCTCTCCACAACGATGTAGTATCATTATTTGCACAGAAAATCGTACACACAAGGCTGTAAATGGCAGCGGAAGTGGTTTGAACAGAGTACAAAACTCTTCAAAATTAGCTATGGTATCTATCAACATGTATTTACAATTATATTTCGTATCCAGGCAGTTATATTTCAATGAAAGCATGATTTAACATACATCAATCGAAACAAAATCAACAAACAGTACAATTTTATATGATATTATAACCACGGGGATGCAAATATCCATATTAAATAGATGTATCAAGTATAATGTTTGATGAAAAGGGAATAGAAAATGCAAAATAAAATTAATTTATTTGACCAAAACTAAGAGACTTCTACTTTATCTAGATAGATTTAAAGAGTCTTGTGATCATGTTCCATCAATTTATGATGTTGTCGTAGGTCGGTAACACGCCTGTGTTATATATAACTCAGTTCTAATTCTTCTCCATTTATATCTTCAACCACTATGTCATCTAAAATTGATAAATAATCTATATATGTTAGCATTGTTATTTGGTCTGTAAATTTGTGACAGAGGTCGAGGTGAATTTAAGATGTGCTTACCCTTAAGCACATTATTAATCCAAATTGATTCAATAAAGAGAACAAGGAAAAAAACCTTTTTTTTGGAATTTATTTTTTATGGTGTATGTGTTTTTTTGGGTTCGAATACAGTTTTTTTTCTGGTATCTTTGCAGTTACTATTTCCTATAAATGTAAAATCAAACGGCAATCGCCATTAGTCTTAGCCTAAAATGTGTTGTCATTGCAAATATTTGACATCTGAACTGCACTTGAAATCTGAACTAAACAAAATTTTCTGTACTACACCAGAAGAGCATATTACCCCATTTGGTTCACCACCCCATTCACACTATGCCTTTTTTATCCGGGTTCGACCCGAATTATTTGGGTAATTGGGACGCATTTACACAGCCGGGGGCGAAGTCGGAATAAAATATTCCCTCATTTTAGGTGGAGTCAATATGGAGCAAACCCGGATTAATTGCCTCGCCTTCTATATGTGAACGTTAAGTGGAGTTTATGTGAGGTTGTTGCTATGGTGCCACATGACGTTTATTTACGTCATTTTAAATTACAGCAGTCAGATCATGGGAGAAACGCATGGATCAACACGAAACAGACATAAGTTTCCTTTTGTATTGTTTTTGTTTGTAGGTGTATCAATGACTTATTTGCTATAAAGTTTCACAAATATAATTTTGAATTCATACTGAATCAAGGAGATATGTTTGAACCGACCTCTTAACCAGCCATGATTCTGTAATGAGCTTCACACATGCTTAAAGTTTACACATACGAAACTTTACCTGTCAAATTTAAACATCTACTCTCTATACTAATTTTACTGCCTAATCTCTTTGATGTTGATTCTTATTTACCTGTCAACTTTGAACTTCTACTTGCTATACTATTTCTACTTCCTAAACTCGTTAAAGTTGTGCCGCTAGAATTTTTACTTTCCCGACGAATAATTCGCTGCTTCAAATCCTTATCCTTTGATGAACTGTTCCTCTATTCAACAAAAAATAGGGAAACCATCAAATACAGATTTAAAGTTTTAACATAAGAATAATATACTTTTAATAACGATTTACTAGGCTGAAGTCTGAAAGTTAATGTTTACACATTGTTATCTTTTTTTTTTTTTTTTTTTTTACAGTTTTTCAACATTATGAAACTGTTGGTTTTATTCAAATGAAGATATATTTTTTTTACAGTTTTTCAACGTTAGAAAACTGTTGGTTTTATTCAAAATGAAGTTATCTTATTTTAACATTTTTCAACATTAGGAAACTGTTGGTTTTATTCAAAATGAAGTTATCTTTTTTTTTTATGAAAATTTACTATTTGTTTCGTTTGAAATTATTATTTCAATGATACTGTCTGATGATTTAAACATTTAATTATTTTGATGGAAGCATTCTTCAAACCGTAAAATGCGTCGTTTGAATTTTCTAATGATGTAAGGTAGTTATCGAAATCAAATCCTAAATATTTGATATAACAATTATAAACATAACTCTCTTTTTTAATTGCCTTTATAATAAATCCATTGTAAATTATAAGGTAAATCCGGCTTAAATAAAGAAATGTTGTATTTATTTTCAAGCCATTTTACATTCCAAACATGTACTCTCAAGCTTACATACTGGTTACATGCATGATAAAAAAAAATCTAATGGGACTACAACTTAAAAATCAAGTAAAACAATACTAACCTTAAAATAAAGTATATTAAGGCTTTCAATAAAACAATTCAGAACGTTGATTGCGTATAAGGATTTGGATTTCCAAAATGTATACATGTATTAAAATTCTCAAACATAACGTTTGTAATTTATCTGAAATGACTTGATGTTCATAGATAGTCTAAGATTGGTCTGACGTCTGAAGACCTTTTTCGGAACTTAGTGCGGTCATGGTAAGTCGTTAAAGGGCCGTTATACATCAGAGCAATCTCAGACTACATCATTTGGTAATTGAAAAATATATTTTGTAGCAAGAAATGAGTAATTCTGTCACCCTTTTTCGGTCCGTTTTGAATTTAGAAGTTTTACACTCCAAAAGAGAAGCGAAGGATACAAAAGGGACATTTAAACTCATAAGTCGAAAATAAACTGACAACGCCATGGCTAAAAAAGAAAATAAACAAACAGACAGACAGACAGACAGACAGACAGACAACAGTACACAAAACACAACATAGAAAACCAAAGACTGAGCAACACGAACCCCACCAAAAAATGGGGGTGATCTCAGGTGAAAGGTTCTATCTTTACCTGACCATGTGTGATTGAAAAGTTGACGGTATATTACTGTTAATATTTGTAAATAGAAGTAAGAAAATGTGGTATGAGTGCCAATGAGACAACTCACCATCAAAGTCACAATGTGTAAAAAGTAAACAATTATAGGTCAAAGTAAGCATGCTATTACTATCACACATATACGTACAGAAGATGCTGAAGAAAATGAGGAAAAATCTCTCATTAATCGCTGACGTTCCTGAAGTCTTTTCAGTGCTTGTCTAACCTTTTGGAAATAAATGTTATAAGTCCATATTTACTTGTTTAAAAAAACGTTTAATAAGAATATAGGTTAAGACTATTTAACAACTATCTTAACTAAAGGCACTTTCGCAATGAGGCCTCAATGACAAAGTGCTGACTGTAAATATAAGTCCATCACAACTTCATGTGTTTATGGTTTAAATATTCATGTGATTTGCATTGTTTTTCATTTACCGTCGTCACTTTCTTACTGTAATGCTAATATTGTTTACGATTTATTGCTAATTCCACGAAATACCGTCCGCCTCGTTTACTGAACTGAGTGTTTGATTTGATTTTATTGAATTTTAACAGAGAGAAGATCGTGTCTTGATGTCTTTGTTTTTATGTTGTTCGGTTGCTATTTCATTAAAGTATACACCACATCTTCTTTTATTATATCTAGATTATCCTTTCCTAATAATACAAAATATGTATAAAAAGAGTTGTAATGTTGCATTCCAATAGATCCAATTGAACTTCATTCTGCTGTTTTTTTTTTAAAATAATATGAATAATTTGTTTATATTGTTGTCCCGTGTATAGTCGCCCAACAACCAGTATTTCATTCCTGCTTTAATGTTGTTTGTACATGTTCAGTTAATCGCCTAAAACAAAAGTTTTCACCTTATTGAGTAACTGTTTCACAACTTTGTTATTTCCTGTTTAGTCAGTTACTTTTTAAATCACTTCTAATTTCGCCAATTAAAATTGAGAATGGAAATGGGGAATATGTCAAAGAGACAACAACCCGACCAAAGAGCAGAAAACAGCCGAAGGCCACCAATGGGTCTTCAACACAGCGAGAAAATCCCGCACCCGGCGGCGGGCTTCAGCTGGCCCCTAAACAAAAATGTGTACTTAGACTAGTTCTGTGAAAATGGACGTCATACTAAACTCCATAACATATAAATGAACTAAAATTAAAAATCATACAAGACTAACAAAGGCCAGAGGCTCCTGACTTGGGACAGGCGCAAACATGTGGCGGGGTTCTTTTTTGTAATGTTTTGTAAAATTGAGAATGAAAATGGGGAATGTGTCAAAGAGACAACAACCCGACCATAGAACAGACAACAGCAGAAGGTCACCAACAGGTCTTCAATGCAGCGAGAAATTCCCGCACCCGGAGGCGTCCTTCAGCTGGCCCCTAAACAAATATATATATGTAGCTTTTTTCTCTCGAGTGAACTTGTAAGAAGTGCTTCCATGAACAATGTGTTGCGCTTATTGAAATTGACATCATTCAATTACAACAATAAGATAAGCACTAATATATGGGTTCAACATGACCGAGGAAATTCTTTGTACTTTATCATTTTTAAGGAAAACAATACGGAAATAAATGATTTACCTCTGAATTGAAGACACAATGGAAAAGGAATATGAAAAAGCCCTGAAAATAAACTAAAAGTTACTTTGCAGAAGGAACTGATAGAAATTTTATAACTGAATCATTTATCTTCCAGTTCTGGTAGCTAACACGAAATAAAACTGTATTAAATAAATTTACTATATTTCATTTTGTACAATAACCTAATTAGCTATTGTCATTGTTCGTCTTGTATATACAGTTTAATTTAACAATTATATAGCACTTTGGGTACCTGTATATCATTGGAACAATACTAACACCTGTGTTTTCCGTCACGATAGTTAACATCAGGAAATTATTCTAGCAAACGGTGCTTAATAAGATCAATGCAATCTTTAATTATATGAAAAGGATAATACTTTTTTACTGATAATGTTTTGTGAAATCTTTGCAGGGAATTTTGGCTCTTATATGACCTTGACCGGTGATGACAGGAAATGCTTTATCTATCGACATAGCTGGTCTAACTCAAAAGTCAATTATGTTTTTGAAGTTGTTTTGGTTCACTACCTTTATATATGTATACAATCCGCATTTACAAACTAAAGCATCTGCGTACTACACAAATTTACCTGTAGTGAATTACAGATAGCAAACAGGTACTGAAATATGACAAAGTCTTCATTGACGGCCATGAGACCAAACATCCACGTCAGTCCTAGTAGTGGAATCAGAATCAAAGCTCCCTTCACTCCAGCCCTAGGTCATATATTACACATATTAGAAATATTCAGAAAACGTTTGACGGTACTGCACACAAAGAAGAGCACCAGAAAACGTTTGACGGTACTGCATACAAAGAAGAGCACCAGAAAACGTTTGACGGTACTGCATACAAAGAAGAGCACCAGAAAACGTTTGACGGTACTGCATACAAAGAAGAGCACCAGAAAACGTTTGACGGTACCGCATACAAAGAAGAGCACCAGAAAACGTTTGACGGTACCGCATACAAAGAAGAGCACATATCTTTCATTGGCTTATGAAATCTCTTTCTTCCTCTGCCTTCTACAAAACCTCAAATAGCCTTTGAAGCAAAATGTATACGCTAAAATTGAAGACTGCCGTTTAGGAAAAATGTTTCTCTGTCCATTACTCTTTTTAAATTAGTTTGCCTTTTTATGGTAGATTATCGTCCAACTCATGTTTTATTATCACCGGAAGTCTTTTTGTATTTGTTAATTAATATATACATAAACGATAAACGCAGATTCTAACGAAATAATGCTTTAATCTAAGTCTACCCAGGAAATTTAATGGGGTTGGTGTTGGTTAATCTTGAGGTGGATCATCACTATATATTTCCTCAGATACAATTTTCTTATACTTTGCCAAAACGAAGATTTTGGCATGCCTTTTAAAAAAATATAATCAAAAGTATGGGTCACTGTGTTATTCTTCAAGCTACAAGTCGGCCAAATTTGCCCAATTTTGCATAGAAAATTCATAAAAATAACACTTTTTTGTGAATAAAAAGAAATCTACAAGAAAGAATTTTGAAATAAAATGGAAGATAATTTTTATAATATGCTTTAAAAAAATAAAAAGAAAAAATGGTGTCACCGAAATTGTTTTCTTGCTACAAGTAAAAAATGAAAATCTCTCTATCATTCCAGTATAAAATTCAACTAAAAGAGTTATCTCTCCTTATATGACTAAGTTGAAAAATTTTAAATCTCCCCTTATATGACTAAGTTGAAAAATTTCAAATCTCCCCTTATATGACTAAGTTGAAAAATTGAATTGAACAAAAACAAATATTCAGTATTTGTTAAAACAGTCTAAATAATGCAACAAATCACTTATTTTTCTTTATCTAAACGAAAGTCTGATACATTAATTGATAATCTTTCTAAATATTTGCAGATTTAAGCAACGTTAGATCTACCTTATTTGACTGTATTCTGTTTTCTGGTCATGTTTTGCTGATGATATGACAATCTTGATAACCATCCATAAAATAACAATATTAACCTATAAATAAAGGTAAAATGGTACAAGCGTTTGATTCATCATACTTTCACTACACTTACTACGACCACTACACTTACTGCGTGTAACGACCACTACACTTACTACGTGTAACGACCACTACACTTACTACGCGTAACGACCACTTACACTTACTACGTGTAACGACCACTACACTTACTACGTGTAACGACCACTACACTTACTACGTGTAACGACCACTACACTTACTATGTGTAACGACCACTACACTTACTACGTGCAACGACCACTACACTTACTACGTGTAACGACCACTACACTTACTGCGTGTAACGACCACTACACTTACTACGTGTAACGACCACTACACTTACTGCGTGTAACGACCACTACACTTACTACGTGTAACGACCACTACACTTACTGCGTGTAACGACCACTACACTTACTACGTGTAACGACCACTACACTTACTGCGTGTAACGACCACTACACTTACTACGTGTAACGACCTTGCATTACAGTGTATCATTTTGTATACGAAATAGACTATCACAAGAACATTTCCATGGCTAGAATAAGAATGTTCTATGTATAAAAACTAAACAGAAAAAAAACGTTAATTATTCCCTAAAGCTCTTCCAATGAAACAAAATAAACCTTATTGATATAAAGATGTTTAGTCTTGTTTTTCTCTCCGCTCATTGAATAAACTTGGTAACCTCTTGCGAATAATACCATGTATGAGTGCAGCACGTCATCGATTTGTTTAGACGTTGGGTGAAACCATAGTTGAATTGGGCATTTGCTTTCTCTCTTACCAACACAATTTAGTTATATCGGCAACAACCTTTCTCTTTGGGATCACGAATATAACGTAGGTTCATGTATGTTAACAATTTTGCGGTTGATTCATACCTTATGAGCTAGTACGGACAAACGTCGAATTTATGGGGTTGTATTGCAAACGCACAACAGGGAGAATTTATATAACATTTACCTATTTTCACAATAAATATGGTTGTAATATCTTACTAAGGTTAAGATCATCAACAATCCCTCCTGTTTAAGCTGGTACTGTAATCAGTTCTAAGCAACGACAGTATAAAGAGTAAAGTCCGGTAATTTCGTACTTATTGTGATTCCGGTAATTTCGTACTTATTGTGATTCCGGTAATTTCGTACTTATTGTGATTCCATGCATTTCGTTCACATAACGTTCAATGTACGAACTTGAAAAAAAATAATTTTGTTTTACTAACTAATACTTTTTTCTCTACTTGAAGTAAACCCCTATTCTGAACACTGCTAAACGAAGAACATGAAACAACCATCTTATAACGTAACCCTTTATGGTTCGATTATTTACCTATAACTATTACTTTTTCAAATTGACGCTTCATTGATAAGCCCATTTTCAATATAAAATTATATACATGTATTTTGCTCACCTGGCCCATTTGTGCTTTCTAGGTCAGTCAAGAAACATAGCCGTTATGGCCAAAAAAAGAATATAATGATAAATTGCATTAATTAATTTTAATGTTTAGGTCTATAAATTCAAAAACTAAATTGGATAGGCAAACATGATCAGCAATACAAGATCTACCAAAATACCAATATGACTGAAACCATGGCGATTTTTTTTTTACATATGTTAGTATTTTTGCCTATCACCTCAAAAAATATAATAGATAGATAGAAACTGTAAACAGCACAAATAATCAGAAATATACACGTAAATATTATAACCGACTGTTATGAAGGTAACAATTAATAGCAAAAGTCATACATTTACCAAGTGAACGATTCATGCTCTTATGAGCCTCTTGTTAAAGCTTTCATTACTTTTAAGATGAATAGAAAACATTCTTTTGTTTTAACTTTCCCGCAAAATAGCCATATCTGTATTGAAATGTATCGTGTCCTTGTTAATACATCATAATTACCAAAATAATGGCGATGGCTGGTCCAACAAAGGCCCATATTGCTCCCGTTTTTGTTGATAACCAGCAGCTATTTAAAAATAAAAATATTAGTTCGGTTATAAACCGTAGTATCTCATGAATTTTAAACCAAATTTATAAAGGAAAGCCACAAACTCTATTCCAAGTGAATGAACTCTTCTATTTACTTAATATCCTGATCATTTTTACTTTCAAGGTAAATGTAAAGTGTTAATTTCTTACAAATACCTTCTCCAGAAAATAGATCATGATATTTTACATTTATTCATGTAGGAGTACTTCTATGAATCTGATAATCTGTAACAGTTTGACAAAAAGCAATTTGTAATACAGTTACTAAAGAAATTTATGAAAGTCCAAACGGAGAAATAAAAATAAACAAGGAAGGAAAAGAATAGGAACATCACGGAGAAACAATGTTCATAAAACAAAAACATAAAACAGATTTTAAATCTTTCCCGTTTCGGTAATCTGTATTTAACCGTCAAGTTTTTATGTGCATTTCCCAAGTCAGGAGAATCTAGTTCGCTGATTCTATTTGGTTCCTGTCTGACATATTGTTTTTTTTTTTGTTTTTTTTTTTTTGTTTTGTTTATTGTTTAATCATAAATCAGGCCATTGGTTTTCTCTTTTGAATTGCTTCACTTTTGTCGGGATCCCTTATGTCTTAGCATAAGGTATAGGTTTTGCTCATTCTTGAATTTTTACTGTTGGTGAGATGTCGATTTAAAATTATGACAAACTAACAACGCCAAGGCAAGAATCGAAAAAAGCCCAAAAAAGACAAACCACAGTCTACAAAACACAACGTAAAAAGTAAAGACTGAGCAATATACGAACCCCACCACAAACTGAGGTGATCTCGGGTGTTTCGGAAGGGTAAGCAGACCTGCTTCACATTTGACACCCGTCGTGTTGCTCAAGATAAATATATGAAATAATCATGTCCATATCTGTAGTATCTTTTATTTCAGTTAAATGTTATTCAAATGGACACCAAAAGTTTATTGAAATGACTTTATCTATATGGAACGTCGAACCAAAAGTTTATTGAAATGACTTTATCTATATGGAACGTCGAACCAAAAGTTTATTGAAATGACTTTATCTATATGGAACGTCGAACCAAAAGTTTAGTGAATTATAGAATAACTAATCGAAGAATTCAAATAGAGAAAAATATTCAACGAGTGACCGAACAACACAGTAATTCACGAATGCGCGTAGCGCATGAGTTAATTATCAGTGTTGTTCTGTCACGAGTTGAATATTTTTCGATATTTGAATTCTTTGATTAGTTATTCTTTTTATTACATTGGCAAATGGCTTTTTTTAATGAAATTAATGTGTAAAAATGTAAGGAACTATATTTTTTTTCTACGCATTCACAATTTGTTTTGATTCGACGTTATCGACGTCTTGACAACGCCTATTGTTGTATGACGTCAGAGAGTCAAATAACCACGTTTATTTCACATGTGAAATTATCGGTTTTTATTTGACTGGGAAATCAATGTAATTCATTGCTACCAATGTAATAAATGACTTTATCTATATGGAAAGTCGAACCAAAAGTTTAGTGAAATGACCTTATCTATATGGAACGTCGAACCAAAAGTTTAGTGAAATGACTTTATCTATATGGAACGTCGAGCTTAAGGTGATGTCGGCTTTTTTGTATAATATGGGTACGCCACATTGGCTATGAAAATAGTTAGAGTATGTTTTGTCAGGAGGACTGTTATAGCGACTCTCCCAGAACAGATCCCTTGAAAGTTCCTGGCAGATTTTAAGAGAGATAACAAAAGACTTAACTGTATATTTACCTTGTAGACGTCCAATTATACACAGTTTATTTACCTGGTAGACGTCCCATACAACGCTGTATATTTACCTGTTAGACGTTCCATACTACACTGTTTATCGGTCGTCCCACTAGTACTGTTTGTATCACTCTGCTCAGCTCTTACTCAAATTGCATATCACGGCTTTCTGAAGTCAAATACGTTGACCCGGCCTAAATAACTTTGATCCGGACATATATCAGCGACGTCATAATGTATGAACCGACGTTGATAAGTTAACCCGATAAATCGATTATCTTGGTGTCTGCATATTTATATTGTAAAATATCAGCTGCTCGACACAATATGAAGCCTGTTTGAACTCGTTCGCTGCGCTCACTCGACAAAAAGCTTCATATTGTGACTCGCAGCTGACATTTTATAATATTAATATGTACACAACCTGATAATCGGTACATATTTACCAGGTAGACGTCCCATACTGCACTGTATATCTACCTGGTAGACGTCCCATACTACACTGTATATTTACCTGGTAGACGTCCCATACTACACTGTATATATATATTTACCAAGTAGACGTCCCATACTACACTGTATATTTACCAGGTAGACGTCCCATACTGCATTGTATATTTACCTGGTAGACGTCCCATATCCGTTCCAATCAGCAGAGGCAGACACAGCAACTATAACTATTGGCACTCCTAATATTGCAAATATAAAGAGAAGTGCAATTGTATTTTTGTTTTAGGTCAAAAGAATATGTAAGACACTCTCTTTATATTATATATCTATACATTTGACCGTTATTTCTGTACTGCTTCACAAAACATCAGAAGATGTAACAAGTACATGCTCACTCATATGCAGTTTTTTTTTATACATAGCTGAATTATTTAAATCAATAATGGAAGAAAAGTCAGAAACTGCGAGATATAAATCATCCGCAATGAGCAGACAATATAGAATGTAAATATGCTTCCTAGGCAGTGTCTCAACTCTCGCGAGACAAGTTTTTCTTGGTCCTAGATTCCAAGACACCAGAATAGTTGTCTAATGTGTACATTAACTGACTGTGTCAGATTTCCCTTACGTGATATCTTTCACCCAATACGATTAAAATACAGATCATGTGTCCAAGCTTTGCTTACACGGATCTGAAAAAATTCATTTGCTCTTTGTTTTAAAGACCTTCGAGATCCTCTGGTTTTGTCGGATTAATACACACCTTCAAAAATTTGAAGACTGAAATTTCATTGGTTGATGTAATAGTTGTCAGATATTCGTAACCAAAGCTTGAACACAGGATCTGTATTTAATCAGATTGTCATTCACCGAGTCTGGATTTGGTTTTTCACTGATACATGTACAGCAGGAGAACCTTAACCGTTTGATGCATTAGATCACGCTCTTAGGATTTCATGCAATTTTCTCAACTGTTCTATTCTTGGTTTGGACATTTAAAATTATTTTGCGAGTTTTGAACATTGGTAGACTATTGTGGCACCTTTTTATTAACATTTAGTTGAATATTGATTTTAATTTTATTGCTTTTTTTGCGGTTTTATAATTTATGATTTTTAGTATCAACTTTCGATAAAAAAAATGCTTATATAGTTCATAAAATTAAATTTTGTATCAAGTTATTTTTTAATATTGCGGAAGTTACATCTTACCATGGCATGGCAAATGTCTGTTCAGTTGTATTATACATCTTTATATTTTTTTTGTGTACTAGCTATCATGACTAAAGTTTCAACCAGGAAAAGAGCCCCGTAATTCTGTCATCAAACTATGACAAAAATGTTTTTGAATTACGCTAATGGCAACATATATCATAAAGGTTTCGTGAAAAAAAAACGGAAACTCACCCCAACCAAATATACAATAGTAAGTCACACGTGACTTTTCTGTGCCAAACACTTGAACAACTTTACTGTACAGGAGTAAACCTTCCACCAGCATCCATACAAACACAGCTGTGTAGAAATAGTGCAGGATTGCGGCTACTATAGCACATACTGTCTGCATGTAAATATATACAATTATAGTAAAAACACCCGACATGTACTGTATCATATACACATTGCTGCAGTCGTAAAAGCAAAACAAATTATGCAAAGCATGTAAGATATAATGGCCACTCATGTTTAAATTGCACCAACCAAGGATATATAGTTCAGCATTTTTCACCTTAAACTATCTCTCAGGACACGAAAGATAAATGTTATACATACGTGTATATGCTAGTATAAATTGTATACATATAGTATGCCTATGTTGATACCGTATTCTAGGCCGATTTACAATCATAATTTATTTTTATATAAGATTGATGCTTAACAATAAGGAAAATTATATACCAATAGTACAAGAACAATAACGCAAGGAAGCTTTTCAACCAAACATTCTTCCAGGAAAGTTTAAGTCATGTCTTAAAAATGTTAACGAAGTTAGTTTTGATTTGGTTGACCATCATGGATTAACTATGTCACATTTGACAATGAATATGTTGCTGCTATCCTGTTTGGCTCTCCACGTCGATGACACCACCAAATTAACGTACGTTTGAGCTTGTCGTGGAAACTCACCAAAGATACCGGGCATATAATTCAATACGTGTGTGGTATGTATAAATACACAACCTTGTCATGCTTTCTCTGAAAACTCGCGTTTCGTCATCACAAGACTCAGCAGTAATGCTGGATTTAAAACAGTTGGAAGTCCAAAGCAATAACGATGGCGAAGAGTATTAATAATAAAAATTTCAAAAAAAAATAAGCCAAAACTGACCAGGGCAATTTCTCTGCCTAGGAGTTGAAACGAGCTAAAAAGCTTCACATTGTGTCCAGCGGTTGATATTTTATGATATCTGTAAGTTGAAAACCCAATAATCTGTTTATCTTTCTATTACCGTTCCTGCACCCTCCTTTAGACAGTTTGACGATTTATGAAAGTTAGCTTGATAACGTCTCCTTCCACATTGTGACAACTCTGATAACTTCTTCTCAGAAGTTGTGACGTTGCTGACAATGTCTGCTCACATTTCCAAGCGGTTCTACAAGAATTACGGAGCGACTGAGCAGAGTGATATAGGCGAAATGGAAGGACGATGAATGAACCAATACGCATTGAATTAATGCCATATCACCTATTATAACTCGTCAACGGATGTCTAAATAGAGGAGTATCGCATTGGATATCACTAAGCATTCTAGGGAAGTAGACAATGTTGAATCATACGAAGCACCATACCCTCGTTGTTTGCAATGTTCGCTATATTCTCTGGATGTAGATGTAAGATCAGCCTTGTAGTATAGTTGGTTAGGAGTTTGTTCCTTTTGTGATACTTACCTTGTATTCTATTGCCTTGATGCCAGATAGAAATCCTAACTGAGCACAAATTATGGATATACAAAGATTTCTGTGAACAAACACACGCTCTGAGTTTAATGATCTGAAATTGATATATGATTTTTAATCGTGATGGTTTTTAACATGTAAAATGTATTCTAAAGGTATAGAAATTCTTCAACTTCTTGAATCATATACATGTAGTAATTCTTCTTGAAAATGAAATGAGAATAAATAAAAAGAGAGGTTCGGAATACGCAAATGAAACAGGAACTCAACCAACTATATAAGATATCTGAATGGTTCTAGTAACATACGGTCTTAAAACATAGACAAGTGTCAACGCTGTGTGTCAACTTCCAGACCTAAGATTAATTTGGCTATTCTGTTTAGGTCGTTTTTTTGTCATATAGCTCCAAACGTTTCAAATGAAGCTAAATCAAGAAAAGCGCTACGGACGAACGAAATTTTATAAAGTGTTATATGCATATGTGTATTCCTGCACAGTAGATCTTCCGGATCGTAGAAAAGTTGTCGATATATTGAAAAAACTGTTTGTTGAGATCACCTGTTTATCAGATTCCCGTAAAGACATGCAAATTTGAAGATAAACATTGGGACATGCACTAAAAAGACTTATGACATAGGGTAAGCATACTAAATTATGTCGCGACTAAACTTGAAATATCCTCTTTTGAAATTCCCTGCAGTGGAAGAACAAAGGTATACAGAAAAAACCTACGCTATAAAAAATCCATTCACAAAAAAAAACTTTACTGTATTTAACCTACATGAAAAAAGTAAAATCACAAAAATACTGAACTCCGAGGAAAATTCAAAAAGGAAAGTCCCCAATCAAATGGCAAAATCAAAAAAAAACAAACACATCAAACGAATGGATAACAACTGTCATATTCCTGACTTGGTACAGGCATTTTCTTATGTAGAAAATGGTGGGTTGAACCTGGTTTTATAGCTAGCTAAACCTCTCACTTGTATGACAGTCGCATCAAATTCCATTATATTGACAACGATGCGTGAACAAAACAAACAGACACAATAGGTAAAAATGTCAAAAATAGGGGTACAGCAGTCAACATTGTGTTATCATCTTATAATAATCACTATAAAAACAAACAAATGTAACGAAGAAGCACAAAAAGGCATACATCAAATTTAACATCCTCATTTTGCTTATATTATACGATTTTATTTATCTATGTAAAATCCACCCATAAAGGATGGAAGGTTTTAAGTACTGGCGTAAAATCGCGCGTTTGAAATTCGCACAGGTGGACATAAAATAATTTTGTCGTTCAAAGTATGAGGGGATACATAAATACAGAGTCACGTAAAATGTATATCACAAAAAACAGACTCAACAGTAAAAGTAATATTAATAAATAAAATAATTTTGTCGTTCAAAGTATGACGGGATACATAAGCACACATATCTAAAAAAAACAGACTTAACAGTAAAAGTAATATTAATAAAGATAAATAAAAGAATACTATAACACGTTATTAAGATGATAAACAACGTCAGTACGCAAAATCTATACTTCAAGACCAGCGTGTATTATTTGTGATATTGATACGGAATATTTATCAACAAGTTCTTGGCACCTTCCGATGAACTTTTTTTAGAAAAATGACGAGACGTTCCTTGACATACCCCTGGTTCATCAACTTTCTGCTCAGACACTGGTGACATTTTACAAAGTCTGAGAAGGAGCTGCAAGCTCTTGAATACCGAATAAGTTGGGAAATGTATATCCCATATGCAGGTGAAGTTGGTATATTGCTACTAAGGTGGGGGAAATTGATAATTTCAAAATTAAAATCGTCTCGTTTGTCATAGATTCTGGTACTGAGATGACTGTGTATGTCAAATTCGAGGTATAAATCTAAAAATGAGGCGGAGGAAGCCGTGTCTGTTGTTTATTTAATTTCTAGTTCTGGTGGATATATTAATGGAACCCAATCAGAAAAGTTCGGATTGTTAATGGAAAGAACATCATCAATATATCTGAAAGTGAAATTAAATAACCTGACTTCTTTGATCTTCTTGTTTTTGACAAGTGTCTGAAGGAACTCTGAAAATAACATAAAACCGAGTCTGGGAGCAACCTGTTTTATTGAAAACAAAATACAGAATACATGTAGGAGTAAGAATTTATTCGGGTTCTTCTCAAGAGAAAAAAAAGATAAAGCTATCGAAATTTTTAATTACCCGTTCCACTTAATACAAAGATTGGTGACTTGTTTAGTCATATCTACACAAGAAAAATAACAGCGTTTTAAACTGGGTTTAAACGTATTTTTCCATGTGTTGTAATAAACATTTGAAGGCCGTACTGTGACCTATAGTTGGTAACTTCTACGTCATTTGATCTCTGGTGAAGAGTTTTCTCATTGGCAATCATACCACATCTACCTATTTTAATATAGGTGTTTTGGATGTTTACAACAATCATCACTAAAAGGTATGTTGCTATTTTGCAAGTTCGTTAAGAGTAATTTTGAGTTCATCTCCTCCAATTTTGTATGGATACCATCATTATTTTGATTACCGTTATTGAATATCTGTATAACAGATGACAAAGGATAATATGTTTCTTGGGTCGTAACCACTTTCCTTAATCTTTTCGTTGATCAGGACTATGAAAGAAAGTATAACAAAATACTGAACTCCAAGGTGAATTCAAAAAGGAGAAGTCCATAAAAACTAACAAAATCAAACTTTATCAACCAGATGAACAACTGAAAAATAAGTGCCATATTCCTGACATGGTAAAAGCGTTTTCCGAAGAAAAATAATTAAATGCAACTTGAAACTGTTATTTTACATGACATGAGCAATCAACAGCAGCCATTAGCGATACTCACCCAACACAGGTAAATACAGTTAGTGTTATCAGAAGATACTCACCCAACACAGGTAAATACTGTTAGTGTTATCAGCTGGGTAAGCAATGATATACTACATCCTATGTATGTTATAATGTCCAATACCAAAACATGGACATTATCTAGCTGTAGATAAGATAAGCTAAGATAAATTGTATTTCAAATAGTGGATCGTTAGTACAATGATTATCACATACAAAATTATAAGCCTGGTATCTGTGATGAGTTTTTTACCATTGCCACCGTTTGAAAACGTTTACTACTATATATAATTTCAGCAAACTTTATCGAAATCAATTTGTTACATTGATCGACTACATGTATTTGATATCCTTGTAGGAGGGGAGGCGATAATTTCAAAATGAATATTCTGGCCTAGTAAGAACTGAACTTATTAATCTTACTCAAGATAAGATGAAAATGAGTATTCTGTCCATCCAAAAAAAAAACAGGAAATAATTGTGTACAAAAGTGAAAATAAATTTTATGAACAACTTTGCCACGAGAAATTAAAAAAACCGGCCTATTAACAGGTGGAAAAGAACGTTCCAGACTCAAACAATCCTCCTTCAACCCGCGAAAATCATTTGGTCGAACCCTAATACCCGTGAAATGTGATCAAGGTATAATATTATATAGTTATATCCTCTTTTCCTAACATGCTGTACAACATGGTATAAATCACAGCTTCACAAATCACTCAAAGACACTTAGGTGTGTATATGAATATTTACATCTCTAAAGGACTTCGTTCAGTCTTCAATAATGCCAATAACCCACAACATTGATTTTTCTTCAAATATCTTTGTCTCAACAAAAAAATTACTTATTCAACAGATCAACAAACTGTATTGCAACATACACAACTCGACACATCCGATCGTGATTTGGATTTACCCTATTGAGTGCGTGACATGCAGTTACATTGTAGTTGTCATCGTGAACATGAAATGAAGATTAGAACACAACTATGTATACTAAACTGCAGGTTCAGAATTGTTTCTTTGCACAACGAACACTTAATTAATTTTTTTATCATTAGAATTCAAAGTTGTCATTATAACAAAATGATAAACAGTACCTTTAGTTCACGAACTTGCATTAAGATAGCAAAGTTTGTTGTATGGTTACATTTACACATCGTTCGATGACTGTTTCCTCTCAGTTTCAAACAACCATAATCTGACCATATACTATTGTAAAAAAAAAATGAACCATGAAAACATCCTTAATATAACAATACTGAATAGTGGTTTATTTTCATGGGATTTTTAATTTCGTGACTTTCTTTGGAAAAACCTTTTAGATTTCTTTTTGGCGTTTTCTCGTTCCTGTTTCTGTTGATTCTTCAAGACCAAATTTCTTGCGAGGTATATTTATCGTTTTTCTACAGATACCGAAATTATTAACAGTAAACTGTTCGCCAATATTCCCCCATAACAGTATACTAATTTGAAAACAGTTGTACACCAATAATTTGACCAAATTCTTTACAGAAATACCATGTCAATAGAAATATAATTAAACTATTTCCTGAACCTCTATAGGTAGACAAAGGGATCTCTTTTCAACTAAGATATTTATTCAATAATCCCTCTCCTGAACATGATGTATCTGTTTAATTATAAAGAATACACATATAGATGGTTAAGTTAAATATTCGCAATACAATTCCATTATTCTTAAGCCTAGCATTCATGACTATATGGACATTGGAAAAAAAACGCACAGAATGTTGTAAAGGGTACAAGAGAGCAAGCGTCTCCGTGAAGGATAAAAGACAAATGCCATGAGAAAAAGGGTAAACTGAGAACTATTTAAACAAAACCATGTCGGTGATGCAATATAATCCGATATAAGTACACGAACACACACTTGCTATGAACCATCCATAGTCTAGTATACTTTTAAAAGGTGTAAATATAATAAAAATATTCATTTTGATATTCATAAACTTACCATATATCAATTAAAAAAACCATTTTATTCTAGGTAAACCATCTACATGTACATTCGACCATACATTCGTGTTAAAAAGGATTCAATGAATAACTTATCTGAGAACACTAGATGTGGTTTACATTATACACATCAGAGGTGATCAAATCAAAACAGTTAGACGGCCAAATCAATATGGTGGTTGAGGAGCACAGGAGAACTAACTACATGCCATATATATTATATTTGCGTTGGATAAAAATGATCCGTTCATCCTATTTTGACTCTTTCAAAATTCAAGAGTCTATCCTAAATTGAGGTAAATTATATGGCCTTCCAAATACCGTTTCGATTCCTAACATCACTGAAGAGACATTAATTGTCGAAATCCGGATATGGTGTACAAATTTTTGCACCTCATGTTTGCGGTATACCATCTTTTCCGCAAGTTTATTGTTTTCTGTTTGGTAATAAATTAATAATAAGATCTATTTTGTTACATCTTGTGATCCGTTTATTTAGCAATCGCCAATGGCAGTCAGCAGGGTTTAAGAACATCAGTTGTTCGACCTGCTAGTCAAATGCGTTTTGTTAAAATATACTTTTTCACTCATTTGGTCTTTTGGTAAATGTTGTTTGTGCTGTATTTTGACCCCTCTACCAAGAAATTTGTTTTGCATGCATACGTATAAAACTTGCGGTTTTTATCCAACGCAATCATAGGTTTGAACGTTGTTTTCAATTTAGACTTGTATTTATAGATATATATATATATATATACACATGTTACTTATTTTTGTCTGGACTAAATTACACAAAGGCGTGAAAAGATGTTTATCTTAGATCATATTTTTTGCACTTTTAATAGTTTCCATGGTAGTCATTGATGTTTAGGTGACATAATTGAACTCCGTTAAGGTTCATCACAACCATTTGTTAAATCTTGCCGTTTTTACACCACACATTGTACTTTGTTTACAGACAGACATGTGCACCTCGGAAAGTTTTAAGGCATGGCTGGACCCAGATAAATAATAGTTAAATGCATTTTTTAGTTTCAGAATAATAAAACTTAACTGGATTTTGCTATGAATTTCAATTAAGACTTAGTGCATTTTTTTTTTCGTTTCTGCAGAAGTCGCCAAAATGAACTAAGTTTCGGATATATTTGAGTTATTTGTCGAGTATTGCAGAAATTGAAGAAGTCGTTTATTACAATCTTCGATCTCATTTCAATTAAGACTTGTCGATAGAATAACGAAACCAATGCAAAATCTATTAGAAGTACACAAGGGAGCATTACAGTCAATAAAAGGAAAGGCGATGTACATTTCGTACCTCTGACAAATTTGTTTTTCTAAAATATGTTATTTGAATACGGTCAAACCAGGGAAAATTATATTACTATTCAGTTTGCATTTGACAACCAATCATTAATTATCATCGTTGACCGCATGAACATCACGTTTGTAGGAAAAGAGTTAAAATCCGAGTCATCAAATTCGAACAGGATTACAGTGAAACATCTATATAAGTTTATATAAAACTGTGTCGACATTCAAACCATAGATTGATAGTCTATAAAAATCACCTATAATTACCATTTGTAGCTTTCCATAGTCCATTGTCAATAACAGTAAGGTAGAACACATATTCTTTTGGATGAAATCTCTAGAGGAAATTTTATCAGTGTCAAGACGTCAGATACTTATTCAATTAAAACGATCAGTCGTTATTTTGTTATTTATCTATAGAAAACATCGCATTTTTATCTTGTCCTTTGCTGCAAACAATTAAGATGTCAAAGATAAGAACTTTGGGAAATTAATAATTAACAGGATAACTATTGTTGTATACGTAAGAATAAAACAGGTGTCGTTATGCTCTAACGTGTCAAGACAAAAGGGAATTCTGAGCTATTTATATATCATGTTAAAGATACTATCTAGTCGTATAACACCAATTTAAGTGAAAATGGCAAGATTTGTGTGAATAAAATTTGAGAACTCGCACATGTAATAACATAATCAGCAACCCTTTGTAAATCATAAACAAATAAAAATGTGAGGGAGATCACTGTTTTCACCTTTTGAATTAAATTTAACAAAAAATAGGGGCTAGGATGAAATTTGAAAAAAAGGCAGGACTGGAGTTTTGAGTAAAAAAAAACAGGCAGGATGAGCAATTTGGCAAAAAAAAGGCAGGATGACAATTTATGTAAAAAAAGTCAGGATAAACTAATAAAAAAGGCAGGACCGAATAGAGTGAAAAATAAAAAGGCAGGACAGAGATTACAACTAAAAAAAATGCAGGACAAAATTTTTCATCCTAGCCCCCCATAAAAATCAAATGGTAGCTCCCTAACTTTCATATCATGTATGTTGCATTAGAGACTTTCACTGCCCAGTTTTTTTCATTAATAATCTATTCTGTACAAAAATAAAATGTTACATCAAAATAAATTCGCATCCTGGTGAATAGATATTTATTCGTAAATTTTACGGACGCCATTACGAGTTGGTTGACCGTTACGGAATATCCGTTTCACAGATGATAGCGGATATGTTCATAATGTCGTAACTACAATCCCGTCCCCTTTTCCCGAATATGACCTACCGAATTATTAGACTTATTACCGGGTTTGTACTAACAAGAGCAACACGACGGGTGCCACATGTGGAGCAGGATCTGCATACCCTTCCGGAGCACCTGAGATCACCTCCAGTTTTTGGTGGGGTTCGTGTTGCTCAATATTTAGTTTTCTATGTTGTGTTTTGTGTACTATTGTTTGTCTGTTTGTCTTTTTCTTTTTTAGCCATGGCGTTGTCATTTTATTTTCGACTTATGAGTTTGAATGTCCCTTTGGTATCTTTCGCCCCTCTTTTACACTTTACAACATAGAAAAATTACATCAGATTTTCAGATTGTGTTCTTTCTATTCTTATGTAGCAACAATTCGATATCATGTGCATATTAAATATAATTAATATTTCCCAGATGATCCGATATTTCTATTTATTGCATTTACTTTTAGGATTTGTTTGATACTGGATAGCTGCCTATAAGGAATCTACTGATACCTTGATTTTCAAAAGTATAGTTATATCCATGTTTTCGAAGTTTCATGGACACCATCCTGATTTGGTTGAGAGCCATGAAATATCTGTGCCATAATTGGCTGCGTCGTTATAAATTACCCATCTTCCCTGTGCTTTTAAACGTAGTAAAATGTTTTGTTCGTGTTTTCAATATGTTTACCATTATCAATTTGTTTTAATTATTTTGTAAATTTTCATTTATATGGAAATCCTACCTTTCTTTTTTATCATAATAGGCACACAAAGTATTGTTTGCATCTTCAGAAATGTTGATCTGCAATCAAAATCAAATACCATAATAAAACCTAATTCAATGTTCAACGTGTTACAAAAGTAAATAAGAAAAACAGCAATCCTGCAAAAAAAAAATCGAAAAGACATGTGTAAAGGCAATCACAAAGAATCAGTCAAATATCGTTTTCCTACACGTTTTTACCAACTATTCCTTTCTTTTAGAAATATCATTGATACACAGAATTTAATGGTGCATGTCCCCCTTTTTAGTTACACGATTTCTGAAGATTTCAACTTTCTATTAGGATTTAGATTTTATTTTCCAATATTTTGACCTCGAGCATGACTGAAGAGACATTAATCTGATGCCGTTAGGTATTTACAGTTAAAGTTATTCAAATGCCAACTTCCCATTTACAGCAGCAAAATATCCTCTGAACAATCGTATGGCGTTTACGCCGTTTATGTTCACACTATAGGGACTAAATGCTTGTTCTTTTACACAAAAATTTCTCGAATATTGTTATGAGGGAGAACGACTGAAATCGACACTACATACGTTTTACGGTCACCATCACGAACTGGTTGACCGATACGTTATTTCTGATTCTAAACTCACCAGAGACATGTTTTAGCAGTCTAAGATCTTTTGATACTAGACTAATGTCCAATATGTTATTTTACCGATTGTGTCCTATTACCAAATGTAACATTTTGTCTGAGTGTGGATTCGGATCGCGTTTGATGCATGCATACAAGGAGATGCTTATCCTGCCTCGCTTCTTTGGAGTTATCATTTTGTGTGTTACCTTGATTTGTCTTCTCAATCGATTGATGATATTTGAACATCGGTAAAAACTGTTGCTTTGATCTAATGAATGCAACTTATAGAAGCATGTCAGTAATTTCATACTTTTTTTAATACACTTATTCTTAAACACTGAAGTTAGTTCCTTCAATATTATCCGCATTGGTACTAACTTTGATTTCCTTTTTAGTCTGTGAAACATTGTTTATTCATTTATTAATTGTAATTGGTTTTGCACTACTTTTCAGTACCTGAGAGTACTCACAGATCGGATCGGTACCTAGTGTTTTTATCTTTCGGTTTCTATTTTTCCGACTCATTTGTATAGTTTTTTTCTGATGTTTTGCTATTTCACCAATGTCTCATACTAGGAGAGTGTTCAGCGACCACAGACATGTTGAACCCCGCCACCATTTTTAGACTGTTGGTTATCTTTTCGTCATGTTTTTTTCCATTGCGTTGTCACTTTGGCTTGTCTTCTTCGAATTTTTAGTTTGAATATTCCTTTAGTAGTTTCCGTCTCTCTGTTTAAAATGCCTATCCCATGCCAGAAGCCTGCAATTCAGTGGTTATCGTTGGTTGCTGTTTGCCATTTGTGTTTACCATTTATTATTTTAACCATAAGTTAGACATTGGTTTTTCTCGTTTGACCTGCTGCACATTTTGACATGCCGGTGTCATTTCATAGATGACTATATAGGCTTCGCACAGTTTACCATAGTTGTTTAGATCCTTATTCATTTTGGTCTCTGGTGAATAATTTCCTCAATGGTTACTATACTATATCTATGTTGTTTAATTTATTAAAGAGGTTTTGAACTTAACTAAATTTTGTACGATTCAACAATTACAAACGAATCAGATAAGTACAGTATGCTTGTGTAAACTATTCCCAAAATACAATTGTAGTATGAATTGACCTCATTTATCAAAAAACCTAGAATAAAATGGTGAAGCTACTTACCTGAGGTATTAAAGTATAATGTTGAATTTGAAATGTATGACTAAGTGATATCTCCTTGTTTCCAGAAAATGCTGTCAAAGACATTACAGGACTTATAATGTAGGCTTTGTTACTATCGATCGAGAAATTTGATCTGAAAAGAAAAGAAGAAAGAAGCCTTTATTTACAGAAAGACAACAATATTGTCTAATGCTTCCGTTACCATATGTAGTTTCATTTCTGATTATTAATTCTCTACCATATTTAGACAATATTTATCTTATTTATTCCGTACCATATCTAGACAAAATGTATCTCAAAATGATCTCAAAATGGGCTATATTGCCATTTAATGCCGTTTTTCATTTATTCCAAGAAGTTTGAAACCCTTATGCAAATATGCAAGACAAAATTCAAAATGTTTCATTATCATCTGAATGATGTCGTTTTGTAGAGTTATTATACTTTTGATTTGCGAATTTAAGGACTAAAACGTGGTCTTACAATTCCTTCCTCTTACACAATATAACTAATATTGACTGCATATGCTAGATGTACTAAAACATATATGATTTTTGAACTAGCGTTCAGTAACTGCGAGTACTCACAGGTTGGTACTTTGTGTTTTTAGTCTTTTTGTTATTTGTCTTTTTCTGCTTTGTATCAATCTGATGAGTGAAGCCCTTTTCATCTGATTTATCACTTTGTTTAAAGGTTGTGCTAATTCACGACTATCCCATGTTAAATTGAGCGTTGGGCGTCCTCAAACATTTTAATCCGCCATAGCCTGTGATCATTTTCGTTTTTCATTTATTGTTTAAACATACATCAGGCAGTTAATTTTTCTCGTTTAAATTATTTTACAATTTGTCATGTCGGGAACTAAAAAGCTTGCTATGCGATATGAAGTTTGCTCATTGTTAAAGGCCTAACAATGCACTAAATTTGCTATCATCTGCATCATTGGGCTCTTGTTGATAGTTGTCGTATAGGAAATTTTACCAGATCTTCTTATTTTGATAAAGGGTAATTGAATCAAACATAGTTTGAAATAAAAGGATTTTTGCTTAATATAAAGTCAGATACAGCATTGTTCAACCCATAATTCGTTCGACAGCATCTTTTTTGAATAAAGATTATGCCAGACAATCGCCAAATGTTTATACGAAAATCATGGTCATATATTCCTAAAACAAGCCAGATAAATGGACATTGACTTATTGGACAAGAAACGTCTATTATAGTGTTTTAATTTTGTTTTTTATATATTTTTTTTGGGGGGGGGGGGGGAATGGTGGGATATTTTTTTAATATCTGATACCTGAATATGCATTTCAACACCAAAAGCTGGCTATTGTAACCCTTCCTTAAGAAGTATTCTACTCAGAATTCCCAGCACTATTTATTTGTCTCAGCTATTGTTTTTAATTTTAACTTTGAATTTTAATGAAGTGATACCTAATTTTGTATGATTAGAGAAATTCAAGACGAAACAGAAAACGTTCAGTTTAGAACTTTATTATTAATGTCTCACAACCATAAGACATGGTGAACCAAATTAATTTGATTTTATTTAATTGTGTATTTTAAAATAGTTTAGGAAAAACACATGAAACATTTCATTTGAAATGTTTGAAATGTCGTCGGACTTATGTTCACTCTTTATAAATCTACTCCTTTGTGGTTTATCTATATACATATATATCTCTACTTCATTGCCGTGCACCGTAACATTTCTACCATAATGAAAAAATTCATTTAGTGTTAAAACAAATTTGATTTGCATTACAAGACTGTTATTGAGTTGCTGCATCCTTAGCATATATCCTACATCATGTTTTATTCATAAAAAATTATCAAATATGCACATCAAGGTCAACATTTTCATTTTAAATATAAGGTATGAATATAAAAATGTATGTCCCTGAAGTGATCAGTACTGCGATGCCAAATTGGGTTTAAGGTTAATTCAAGTAGTTATTGCGAGTTTATATTAAAATTACAAGATATTGTCATGATATCCTATTAATATTTTATTATAATTACAGGTAGAAGTCTCTTTATAAATTGGTAATATAATAGAAATTGAATATCAAATATAATTTTATATGCTTTATGTGATGAAAAATAAACGATTCAATAATTAGGTAGTAACTACAGTTTTTTTGTCAGTAAAACATATCCGTGATCTCCATTTTTCAATTAACTCGGCAGTCCCATTTAATGAAATATTAACGCGATTATTGCACGTATGCATTATCACAAAGTTTCCATCAAGGAAACATTAAAAATATATATGGCACTTGTAAATGTTTACCCCATTATACTTTGAATAGAAAAGTTACTATTAAATATATATTAACAAAAATACCGAATTCCAAGGTAAAATAAAAAAGGGTAAGTCAATAAAGCCTGACAGAATTAAACGCTCGACTATCAACCAAAGGAACGACTGGAAAACAACTGCAATGTTCTTGAATTTGTATAGGCATTTTCCGACCGTAATGACGTTTACACTTACAAAACGTCAAAGAATATAATCAAAACTTTTTTGAACACTCCAAAGAGTTTGTCAAAGAAACTTGTCCATTCATGAATTATTCTGTGTGACTTATTCATGTTTACGTATATTGTTTTGTGTAATTCACATTGCCGCCAATTTACATTTCTTTTACATAAAGGAAGCAATAGCTATGTTCTTGATAATTTTGTTTCTTTCTAAATTTTCCTTTTTTTTATTTGTACGACAAGAAAAAAATAATTGTTATGCTATATATATATATATATATAGAAGTCTATAAAAAGGACCAACCAGCAAATTTACTATGTACCGGATCGTCTAGAATAGACGATACTGTGCAGATAAGGAAAAAATTATATAAGTCTAGAGATTTGCACAACGATACTAATATAAGATGGTATTATACGAAGATGTTGTTAATAAATCGTGTTGACAAATATTTCGGCTTAACAAATAGCCTTCTTCGGTGTCAATTATTTTAACAATACTGATAATATGTATAAAAATAGCTCAATAATACAGGTAAGTTTTGGTCTATTGATTTAATCCAAAATCCTGAACATCATAATATAAAACAAAACTCAATACTCAAATATACGTGACTGTGTATATTTACAACCCAAAATGAGTGAAAAATAAAACTTAGTATTTTTTATTGATGCCGTTTGGATGATGTACATTTAGTTCCTTTATCCAAAAGCTTTCCCGAACCTGTCGCTGGGCATCACTCCAGTGAATGTTCTGTTCAATCACTAGGATCTTCATGCGGTTAAAGTCATCAAGTGTGTGACCAGACTGTCTGAAATGCTGAGAAAACTGGGAGAAGTGGCTTCTTAGAGATATCACTCCTATGGCCATTGAGGCGTTTGTGGAAAGGCTGCTTTGACTCACTTTTGGATAAAGGAACTAAATGTACATCATCCAAACGGCATCAATAAAAAATACTAAGTTTTATTTTTCACTCATTTTGGGTTGTAAATATACACAGTCACGTATATTTGAGTATTGAGTTTTGTTTTATATTATGATGTTCAGGATTTTGGATTAAATCAATAGACCAAAACTTACCTGTATTATTGAGCTATTTTTATACATATTATCAGTATTGTTAAAATAATTGACACCGAAGAAGGCTATTTGTTAAGCCGAAATATTTGTCAACACGATTTATTAACAACATCTTCGTATAATACCATCTTATATTAGTATCGTTGTGCAAATCTCTAGACTTATATATATATATATATATATATATATATATATATATATATATATATATATAAATTAATTAAGTCTAAATTGAAAACAACGTTCAAACCTATGATTGCGTTTGATAAAAACCGCAATTTTTATACGTGTGCATGCAAAACAAATTTCTTGGTAGAGGGGTCTAAATACAGCACAAACAACATTTTCCAAAAGACCAAAAATTGATATCCTGCCAAGTTGACTTCGTTCATAGTTCCTTAAAGCGGTCAACTATTTTTTTTTTATAATTCATAATTTGATATCATTTTACATAAATATAAAACTTAAGTTTTAAACATTTGTAAAGAATAATTGAGACAAAAACAATCTTGTTTACAAAAAGTAAAATAACAAAAATACCGAACTCCAAGGAAAATTCAAAAGCTCAAACACATCAAACGAATGGAAAACAACTGTCATATTCCTGACTTGGTACAGGCATTTCCATATGTAGAAAATGGTTGATTAAATCTGGTTTTATAGCTAGCAAAATGTCTCACTTGTATGACAGTCGCATAGAATTCCATTATATTGACAACAATGTGTTAGCAAAACAAACAGACATAAAGGGTAAAATGTCAAAAATTAGGGTACAGCAGTCAACATTGTGTTATAATCTTAATTACTATAAAACAAACAACTATGTCATCAAAGAAAAACAAAATGGCCATAGGACAATAACACAATGGCGAGATGTATAAATACCGAGCCACGCCAAAAGGATATTACCAAAAATGGACTTAACAGTAAAGGTTAAAAATATACAAAGACAAATAAGAAGAACATTATTACACGTTAAGATGACAAACAATGTCAGTACCCAGAATCTGTATTTCAAAATCATCATGTATTATTTGATGAGTTGATACGGAATATTTATCAACAAGGTCTTTGTATCTTCCGATGATTTTTTTTTAGAAAAACTTTCTGCTCAGACACTGATGACGTTTTATGAAGTCTGAGTAGCAGCTGCAAGGTCTTGAATACCGATGAGTTGGGAAATGTATATCCCATATGCAGGTGAAGTTGGAATATTGCTGCTAAGTTTAAATTTATAGCTTCAAAATTAAAATCGTCTCGTTTGTCATAGATTCTGGTACTGAGATGACCGCTTATGTCAAGTTCGAGGTATGAATCTAAAAATGAGGTGGAGGAAGCCGTGTCTGTTGTTTCTTTAATTTCTAGTTCTTGTATATATCATTTTATTCTGGTATCACCTAAGTTGAACAAAGGTATACAGAAAAACATATTAATTTACATTACATTGCATTGTACATTTGTTGAGGAAATTTTTGGAGGAGTTGTTCTGAAGGATATATTAATGGATCCCAATCAGAAACAAGAGGCTCTAAAGAGCCTGTGTCGCTCACCTTGGTCTATGTGCATATTAAACAAAGGACACAGATGGATTCATGACAAAATTGTGTTTTGGTGATGGTGATGTGTGTTTGTAGATCTTACTTTACTGAACATTCTTGCTCCTTACTATTATCTCTATCTATAATGAACTTGGCCCGGTAGTTACAGTGGAAAATATTTTGTAAAAATTTACAAAAAGTTACAAAATTTATGAAAATTTTAAAAAATTGACTATAAAGGACAATAACTCCTTAAGGGGTCAATTGACAATTTTGGTAATGTTGACTTATTTGTAGATCTAACTTTGCTGTACATTATTGCTGTTTACAGTTTATCTCTATCTATAATAATATTCAAGATAATAACCAAAAGCAGCAAAATGTTCTTAAAATTACCAATTCAGGGGCAGCAACCCAACAACGTGTTGCCTGATTGGTCTGAAAATTTCAGGGCAGATAGATCTTGACCTGATAAACAATTTTACCCATGTCAGATTTGCTCTAAATGCTTTGGTTTCAGAGATATGAGCCAAAAACTGCATTTTACCCTATGTACTATTTTTTAGCCATGTCGGCCATCTTGGTTCGCGGGCGGGGTCATCAGACACATTTTTTAAACTAAATACCCTAATGATGATTGTGGACAAGTTTGGTTAAATTTGTCTTAGTAGTTTCAGAGAAGAAGATTTTTGTAAAAGATTACAAAAATTTACGAAAAATGGTTAAAAATTGACTATAAAGGGCAATAACTCCTTAAGGGGTCAAATGACCATTTTGATCAAGTTGACTTATTTGTAGATCTTACTTTGCTGAACATTATTGCTGTTTACAGTTTATCTCTATCTATAATAATATTCAAGATAATAACCAAAAACGGTAAAATTTCCTTCAAATTACCAATTCAAGGGCAGCAACCCAACAACGGGTTGTCCGATTCATCTGAAAATTTAAGGGCAGATAGATCTTGACCTGATAAACAATTTTACTTAGTCAGATTTGCTCTAAATGCTTTGGTTTCAGAGATATAATCCAAAATCTACATTTTACCCCTATGTTCTATTTTTAGCCATGGCGGCCATCTTGGTTGGTTGGCCGGGTCACCGGACACATTTTTTGAACTAGATACCCCAATGATGATTGTGGCTAAGTTTGGTTTAATTTGGCCAAGTAGTTTTAGAGGAGAAGATTTTTGTAAAAGTTAACGACGGCGGACGACGACGACGGACGACGACGACGGACGACGGACGCCAAGTGATGAGAAAAGCTCACTTGGCCCTTTGGGCCAGGTGAGCTAAAAAATTAAGATGTGAAATTAAATTATCTGGATCGTTTGATGTGTGAGAGCTTTTAATTTTGCCATTTGATAAGGGACTTTCCGTTTTGATATTCCTGTTTTTGACAAGTGTCGGAAGGAACGCCAATTCATATGAAATATGAAAATAAGAATATGTCGGCAAAGAGAGACGCACAGTTCGTTTCCATAGGAATGCCGATAATTTGTTGAAAAAGTCAACATCCAAATTTAACAAATAAGTTGTCAATAAGAAAGATCACTGTTCCTCGGTATAGTATCTTTTACCTTTTTGTTCACTATTAACAAAATATGCCGTATGGTATTCCAAAGCAATAACTTTAAAGCCTATGCTACCAATTTTATATTGAAAACCATTGTGGATTATGTATTTTGTCAGACGATTTTTCAATTTCATATGGGGAATGGTGAAATAAAGTGTTGAAAAAGCAAAGGTTTTGATATATATATATATATATAATGGTTTGAACGTTGTTTTCAATTTAGACTTTCTTATATATATATATATATATATATATATATATATATATATATATACATATAGTCACTCAGTTGCATGAGTTCGAATCCCGGCCAGGGAAGAACAAAAATTTGCTTCCGCAAATTAACAGATCTAACATTGTTGGGCTGTTATTCAGACGAATTATATATAATTAATATTTAAGATTAATTGTCGAAATCCGGATATGGTGTACAAATTTTTGCACCTCATATTTGCGGTATACCATCTTTTCCGCAAGTTGATTGTTTTCTGTTTGATATTAAATTAATAATTTTTTAGATCCATTTTGTTATATCTTGTGATACGTTTTTTTGGCAATCGCCAATGGCAGTCAACAGGGTTTAAGAACATCAGTTGTTCGACCTGTTAGTCAAATGCGTTTTGTTAAAATATACTTTTTCTCTTTTTTGGTCTTTTGAAAAAGGTTGTTTGTGCTGTATTTAGACCCCTCTACCAAGAAATTTGTTTTGCATGCACACGTATAAAAATTGCGGTTTTTATCCAACGCAATCATAGGTTTGAACGTTCTTTTCAATTTAGACTTGTATATATATATATTTATACATGGTTAATACCGCTACTCGAGTAAACATTTTCACAGTATTTCTGAAGATCCTCTTTCACAGCGAACAGAACTTTTGTCAATCTAATGGACTATTCCTTTTTAGAACAAACATTCCGTTGTTTGTATAGAATTCTGTGAAGCTTAGGTATCCTATACAAACAAGGTAAGTGCTCAGATTTGCTGTTCGTTTTAATGTTCATTGAAGCCATGAAGGACTTATTATTCGCCAAAGTATCATCCTTGTCAAATGACATGTTTTTGTATGTGGGATTACCTGAGTGCTGGTCGATCATTCACACAGTTTTTCAATTATTGGATTCGATGTTTTGTCAGAGACCTAATTGCTTTAATCTATTCTGACAAAGTGTCCAGTTCAACGTCTTCTCATTTAGCCCATGCTCTGGTGTAGTCCTTAATGGAATCCATAACTTTTCTAAAGTTATGGTTCCAAGTGATGTGTTGGGTTTCTCCGAACTTAGGACCATGAGATATCACCTTTCGGAGATGTTCATGTTGAATTATTCTTAGATCTTCAGTAATAGCATGACCAGAAGGACAGTTAATTGAATTTCACTTTCAAGGGAGAGTAAACTCTAATATCACAAGCGTAGAATTTTGTAAAATGTTGTATCTCCGAAGTGCTTTTCGGGATTTGTCTCCTTCAGGAACGCTTCGAGACAAAAACTTGAAAGCCAAGTCTGTATATGTATACCCAATAAAAGTATCACGAAATTCATATTCTATTTAACGTTTTAATGATAGTTTTCAAGTTACATGTAGCAATTGTGCAACAACAACAAAGACCTACACATGATAAGTTATAAAAACATGTGTACACATAAACAAAAGACAACACTGACGCTTATAGTTTGGGAAATATGGCAGGGTGAAATATAACTAACACTTAAATTACCATGAATAACAAGTGTACACATAAACAGTAAACAATACTGAAGATTAAATTTTTGGAACTGACATGGGGACAAAAAGAATACGTGCACAAATAATCAAAACACAACACTGAGGCTATATTATAGTAATACAGTAGAGGGCAAAAAGAACACTTAATGCTTAAAGTTGGGGAAATAGATCTAGAGACAATAAACACAGTTTAAGTAATGGAAATTGAAAATATGTGAACTATGTTGATAAATAGTGATATAAGTATAATAAATACTAACCTATTCATTCCTATGAATTTCACTTCTGTTGATATGTTTATACGTAATACCATGATTGACAGCACCAAGTCTGCATCTGTTGTCGGAAAATAAAGTAAAAGAGGGATAACTCATGGTAAAAACGGGTTCAAACTTTAAACTGCTATAACTACTTCCATTTCAAAGACTGTATATCGTTAATGAAAACATACCATGCAAAACTTATTTTGAGACATCATATGTAATCAAACGATTAAACAAATAAATATACAATTTAAGGTCAATGTTAAATAGAGACAATAGAAAAACAAAACACAACACATCTCTTCAGATGTTGTACAAGATGTGTTTAGATGATACATATCTGTGATTTTGATGTTTTGATCACATACTTTTGAAATGAGGATCGACGACTAATACCGTTAAAAGGCATATGTATTACCAACCTTCCTATATATTTCATATTGTAAAGTCTAAATTCAAATATAACACATGTGAAGCAACACCATTTTCCCACGGAGAGTAACAAAAGTGTGACAAATTCTATAGTATTGCGCTAGTGCAAATATAGCTTCAAAATATCGACGTCATTAGTAACAGATATAGAACTTTCAAGATCTAAAATTAGAATTCTGGCACTTTTTTGTTTGGTCAGTATATTTTGATAGACTCGGGGAACAGAATCTATTCTAGTTTCAAATGTTATACTGTTCTATTTCTTTATGGTTTAGATATATTCATCGACATATTTATTATCTTCGGATATGATTACTATCTTTGAAGATAACCATCTGTAGGGTTTAAAAATAACAGATGAAAGGCAGTCTCCTTGTGAACTAATAACTTTATGCTTAATACAACTGTTAACTTCGGAATTACCATTTATTCATTTGCATTATAAACTTCGAAAAGGAATGGAATTATAAAAGTAGATTCATTATATAAAATTTTGAATTTTCGTTATCATATCTGTCTGTAACTAAATCTTTTGGGTCCTAGCAAAAAGATTCTTTTTTTTATAAATTTTGAGTGTTGCTCCTTTCTATGACGCCTTATTTACTGAGTCGGAAAACACATACCAAACCGAGTAAATGAATGTATTTTCATGCTAAAATGCTTAATACAAACCCATGTTCCAAGTCTTTTCTATACTCTCATAGTTTTTTATTTTTTATTTTTCATACTTCTACTTGTAGTACCTGCATTGTCCATGGGTTCTATCTCCTGGATTCTAGTGTTTTGTACATAATATTTTTTATCCGAAACATTACTCATATTAACGAAGTCAAGAATATAATCTGAAAAATATTTAATCAATAAGTAAATGTAGGCAACAAATGCAGATGTAAGCACATGTAGAAAACTATTGAGCAAGCATATAAATATACTAAGAACATGCACGTGCCATGACATGTATTTACACGATGCATAAATGTACGAACTGCATAAACACAAAAAAGGAGATGTGGCACTGCTGACGCTTATTGTATGTTTCCTTAAAATATACTAAGAACAAGCACGTGCCATGACATGTATTTACACGATGCATAGATGTACGAACTGCATAAACACAAAAAAAAAGGAGATGTGGCATTGTTGACGCTTATTGTAAGTTTCCCTAACATCCAGTGTGATAATTTAATGCGATTTTAAGGAATTGAATTAGAAAACAATAAATGTCCAATAGGTAGGTTCATAATAGAATGTCAACTTGGATAAAGGGCAGAAATTTCGATTTAGACTTCGATATATCATTGATTTGGTCATATTTATGAATTATATGTTAACAACCTTGTTTATTTGGAAATACATAGGATACCCTCATTGGCCAATTTACTTAGGCGGAAGTACATGTGATTCTGTCTCATTTGTTTAATATCCACTTAAGAGAGTGGACGTGTCCTGACCGCTCAGGCCAACCGTGATAATTTATAGAGAAGGTATATATTTTTATTTTTAAATGGCAAGAGGCCATATATTAGAATGACAAGAGGTCATATAATTTGAGAATGGCAATAGACAATATATATTTTTTAAATGGGCAAGAGGCCTTGAGATATGATATTGGAAAATGGCGAGGGCCAATGAGATAACATTTATTTAGAGATGGTAATTCTTATTTGAGATATAATTGAAGAATAATGGCAAGGGCCATGAGATATAATTTGAAAAATGACCAAGGCTAAAGAGATATAATAAATTGATAGATTGGAAAAGCCCGACACGAGGTCGAGTGTAAATATAAGTAATTATAAGTTTTTAACATTTGTATTACCAAACTGGTTGCTAAAATATGTGCATTTTCCTAGTTTTTCAAAAAAATTAATGAGGTATTATGTTAAAGAATTTTATGGCAGTTCAAAATCCCATCGTGGCGAAGGGTGTGCTCGACACGTGTCATCACAGATTTTATTAAAGAGTCATTATGTTGATTTGAATTCTAGGATTTAAAAATGATATATACAGTTTAAAAAACAAATGGTTGTTCGCTTTTTCTTTTAAAAGATTTTAATGAAAAAGTACATTTGCCTATGTTCGTTTATTACGTAGTGGTACTCCAAATAGCGGAGAAAAAGTATATATTGCCTAAAGGGGATTTCCCTCAGCAGGTTCGCGACGTCATGATAAGATAAGATAATTTTATTGGTTCAAAATCCAAAATTATAGGATTGTTACCAAGACAATACATAAACATATAAACAAAATCTGACCACATTATAAACATTATATATATATATAACTGTATATCCCTCCATTATTAAAAGTAAATATTGTTACAATAATAAATGAATGTATATAATCTCTGCCGAGGAGGTGGTACCACAAAGTTATTAAGTACTCAATAAAGCATTTCTAGAATAATACATGGTGCTTATGATTTTTACAATAATTTTAATTATATCAGTCTCACCACAGGTATAAAAAAATTTAAATCTTGCTTCATTAGTCATATTTAAAAAAGAGGGAACTATTTCACTAATTTTGGAAAATAATTGTTCTCTAATTGTATTTAGTTTTGTACATATTATGTTATATTATTTGTCATGTGATGTCTAGACTTGTGACAGTGTGTGTTCAGTTGTGTAGATAGTTGTGTATTTATTTTCAGATGGTTTTACCCACATGTTTCAAACGTAGACACTCATTAAAAGGGGTACGGCTAGTGGCGGCTATTAAGAGAATAAGAGGAGGACAACCACAGAGCTTAAAGGAGTTTGCTCGTTTTCAAAAGAATAAAAAATTGAATGATTTATACATGAATGATCTGAGGCAACAGGTTTGTACTATTCATCATTTCATTGTTTGACATGTTTTATCTTTCCTATTATTGCAATACGTTCATAGACAATCATAAGAAACTAAGTTAAGTGTTTTGTAATAAAATAAATAAGTTTTATTTAAAGTCGGCAAGGTTAGTACAACAAGTAAAATAAAAGCTCTGTTGAGTTTTTAACTCACATTTTTGTTTTATATTATTGAATAGGTTCTCGATTGAACGGGTGAAGAACTACAAGATTTACTTCAATTTGCTGATAGAGACTATACAGTTGAGAAAGCCAGGTGGGCCACGCATTGTTTGATACTGTATGCAAATGAATACGGACAACCCAGTGGACAAGATTTAACCCAGTCGCAAGATCAAGTAAGTCATTTCTACGTCTTGCACTTTGAATGTTATGTCTTGGCTGGCAGATAAAATTTAATCTGTTGAATTTTATGCATAAAAATTTGCACATTGCCTATGATGACAAGCTTAGAAGACAAATAAATGATCAAACTAGAAATAATTTCTAAACATGAAAAGAAATGATACATAGTATGTGCTAATGAGGTTATAACTTAAGAAAGTAATTGAACATTGCCATCATCTTGGGTCTTTGTGTGGCCTTCAATTACGAGCAACAACTTGTACCACATAACAAGCAATATTTAGCTGAAATGTAAAATTGTCTTGTTGGTAAATACATAATTACTGCTTTAGATTCACAGATCTCTTATTGACTACTTTTAATGCAGTTTTTTTTCTAAAATCTCAATCACAATACTCTTACTGTGATGTAATCCACACTAGTTGAATCCAGGTATTAGTTTATTCATATAAATGAAAATATTGATAACACTGAAGTAATTTACACAGAATTTTGATATTTATATATATATTCACTGATGTTACTTAATGTGTGTTAATATTGATATCATAGTGGTTTTGTTTTTATTTTTAAGACCCCCACTACTAGTGGTAATTCTGTAAATGTGCAGAGAAGTGGTGACAATGTGCAGAGAAGTGGTGATAATTTGCAGAGTAGTGGTGACAAGAATGGGACAATAAAGAAAGAGGGATGATTTGGAGGATAGGACTGCTAGCTTAGAGAATATCACAAAAAAAGAAGTTGTTAAAAACTTACAGGAGAAGGTGAGGACACTTTGTCTGCAAGATAATCCTTAACAATTCACTCATATTACTTACTCTGGAGGAACTTTCTAAAGCTGCAAGACGGGTTAATCATGATGTATCCAGGTGGCTTTAATGGTTATAGGGGCAGACCACGAAATTTGGGAATACGTCAGAGAGGTGCTTGTTTGTTTTGTGATAGTACAAGTCATCAGATAAGAGACTGCGACGAAATGAAGGCTGCAAAGGGGAAATAATGTTATTTAGTATCTTTTTATATTTTCAATTAGGGAATTACTGTGAATTATTATGGTTTTTATTTTACTTGATTTGAAATGTCTTCATTTACAATTCAAGGGTCACTGATACCCTAGTGGTTCTACATGTTCCACGTGGATTGTAGGTGAAGGGATTTCTCCTTTAAGTGCTTTTATGTTGGTTCTTGGATATAGAGAGTGTTTTTATTTTTCTCCTCAGAATAGTAAAACATTGTGAAGTTTAAATTCATTAATCATTCATGTTCCGGATGGGAAATGTAAATTGTTTTTAATCCATAAAAAGGTACAAGCATAGGCGAATCCAGGGGGGGCCTGGGGGGCCCGGGCCCCCCTTTCGTGGGAAAAATTTGGTTGATTATATAGGGAATCACTGAAGCATGACCGGAGCGGGCCCCCCTTATATCAGACAGCGGGCCCCCCCTTATGAAAAGTTCTGGATCCGCCACTGACAAGTACGTCAAGAACCAGCATGGGTAACACTTGGAGGTGAAGTTCTCTCACTTACAACACACTTTCCATCGGCTGAAGAAGTTCTGAATGGTGCATGTGGTGTTCATTTTGATAGTGGGACTTTGCCTTTGCGTGATCCTGATCTCTTTCTAAGAGGTCAGATTCATCATCATTTGTCAAACTGGAAAGATATTCTAGAAGGGACAGATAATAAAGATATACTAAAATGGTTAATAAATGTACAAATTTTTTCAGACACTTTAAAGGAAATTTTAAGGGTCGTTTTTATAATTCGGATATTCCCCCAAATCAATATTTTTAAAATTTAAAAATTTGTAAGCAACATGTTGATTTTATTTCAAAAGAATTATGCGAGAAAATTGTTACGGGATCAGTTAAACTGTTGGGAGCCGTTGGTGAATGTGTAATTGCACGAGTAATTCATTGTAAAATTTATAAAATACTCGTGCATTATATATGGATTGGGCCTTTGTATTTTAGATTGGGTTTCATCTTCAGGAAGTCTGTAGAGTTTCTGCTACCCACAACTTAATGGAACTGTAACAAAAAGATATTGGACACTGAGGATATGGTCATACCCTCATTGGCCAATTTACTTAGGCGGAAGTACGTGTGATTCTGTCTCATTTGTTTAATATCCACTCAATGAGAAGGTAAACGTTTGCCAGAATAGTCAACGTTTGTACTGTATTGTCTGTTTATAGCCTGTTCTTGTAGTTATTTTAATCCCACCCTCGTCCCACCCATTGTCTGTTTATAGTGTTAGTAGGGTACCAAAATGTGATATACAGGATTGTATGTGAAATATTGAGTTATTTTGTTTTTAATATTTTCAATGCAGAGGTCTTATAGTCTTTGATGTGTATTGTCCATCATGATAGGCGTTGAACAATAGAAAGCCTAACACCTAATTGCTAATTTATGACATAGACTTGATTGGTTTGTTTTACTAAGTCATTGGGTTTTTTGTTGGCTTAAGACGTTAAGCATTGTTTTGTTCGGAATCCGTAGGAAAAGATATATCCCCATTTTGGTACTACAGGAGTGTTCGATATAATCTCCCATCAGTTCCCCTGCAGAGTTTCTGCTACCCACAACTTAATGGAACTGTAACAAGAAGTTATTAGACACTGAGGATATGGTCATTTTCTAACCCAGAAATAGATTACCTTAGCTAAATTTGATAAACCTTATGAATATTTGGTCCTCAATGCTCTTCAGTTTTGTAATTTATTTTGCTTTTTAATTTTTTTATTCAAGCGTCACTGATGAGTCTTTTGTTGACGAAACGCGCTTCTGTCGTACAAAAGCAGGGTATCTTTGATGATTTATTATTTTTGATAATGAAAGTATGTTAGAAAGGGGCTTAAATTTTTATTTTCTGCGGGCTCATCAAAGAGTTGCTGCAATTGTTCTATATAGTGTATATAGAGTAATATTCTCTACACGAGGCATATAATTTAACGTATCATTCGATCTATCGTGGCTGCATATTTATACATCCCAAAAAGTTCAACGGTGGACTGTACTAGTGTACTTGAGATAAACGATACAACCGAGAGTAGTCTGTTTTAGATCTTGATCTTTTCCTCGATACTGACATGATGGACGACTTCAAACTAGAATCATTTCTCTGCCGTAACATCCCTCTGCTCCATCGTATGACGTTTACATATCTCAATTAATACGTTATGCTCGTAAACAGTATATGGATTTCATTGACAGGGGTGTGCTCTTTACACCAAAACTGTTCCAATGGATTAATGAGGAAAAACGGCTGAAATTGACACTACATGAGTTTTAAGGTCACCACCACGAATTGGTTGACCTATACGATTAGTCGGTATCCAAACTCAGTAGCGACATGTTTTCACGGTCTTAAATCTTTAATTACCAGTGTTGTCGTTTGATTTTCAATTTAACTGATTTCATTCGATTCCCTCAGTTTTAGTTTTTTACCTTGTCTCTTCCTAATCGATTTACGAGATTTGAACATCAGATTACTATATTGGAATACCCAAGTCACCCATTAGAGTGTAGGGATGGGTATGATTGTCTATCCACCAAAGGACATGAAGGTTAACAATTTTAGGTTATTATAAGGCTTCGATAATTAGCAAACATAATAACGCATAGTAAGGTATAAAAGGTCTGGGGTAACAAAATGTAAAACAATTGAAAATAAAAAAAACAACATGTTACTATATATACTAACAACTGTTTGAAGGCAGAAACCAAAGACTACCACTAGACTACAGTCTTCTGACGTAGGATTATGAGCCTGGTATCTTATATGAGGTTTTATAACCTCTCGGTTAATGTTTTCATTCCAAAAGGTTCAAAAGTTCGAAGAAACAGAACTTTAATAAATGGTTACTATACGGTTCTTAACGATATACATAACTTGACTTATTAGGTCTTCTTCATCCAGCGATTTGTTGCCCTACGAAAAATAGTATTATAATTGATAATCATGAAAAACATGCATCCACAAATAACTAGAGATAACTATTGACATAAAATATGTTCATCTGATGTTAAACGTTTCTTTTGAAGTTTATGTACAAATTATTATTTGTTTTTCTCACCTAGGTTTTGCAGATGAAATTCTTGTTTTGTAGATATATAAGGTCTTTTCAACGCAAAGCTAACAAATGGCTCTATCAAAGGTATTGACTCCTTAGATTGCTGAAATATTTTTTATACAATTTAGTTCATACTATTGCTGCCAATGCCATTGTGTATTAAGTATAAAACTACTATATTAAATGAAAATTTGTTTTCCCCTTGTAAAACAATTGGGTTCATTCTATTTAAATGTTTTTTGTTTTAATCCACGTCTTTTGATTGCTGGTGATTAGGTGTATCAAATGCAATCATAACACATCTCCTTATTCATTCATACATTTATAAAGATATATAGTTAAATATATTCTACATAAGTACTGTAACAGTTGATTATCAATTTGAGTACAGTTGACTGTATTGGTTCATTTTAATATGTCTTTTTTATATATTTTCACCAGACATATCAGAACGTGATCACCTTTATAAGCAATATTAGATAAAAGCATGCAAGTTTGACTCAATGAGAAAACCGATAACGCGAAAAAAAAAAATAAAAAAGTAACTCTTCTATGAAAAGTCGAGACAAACAATAGTAAAAAATGCCTTTAACCTTTCTGATAAAAAGTTATTTCTAAATTTCTATCGTACATTTTAAAGAAATTATTTGTTAAACTGTTTTATTTGAAATATACATGCAGATATATGATGTTTTATTTTAATTATTAAATATTGAGATAATGGCATTAGAAGCTTGTCCAACTAAAATTTTTAAAAAAGTTAATCTTTGCTGCATATCATGTCTTAAAAAATCTAAGCTCTTTCTTGTTATCAATATTTGGAGCGTTCCACATAGACTTTAGCATGTTACAATTTCTCAAATATGCATATTTTCCACCATTAAGTTTTCGAGTACGCCGCTCTGCTCATTTTCACGTAAATTCTCAATATAGAGATATTATGTTTTCGTAAATAAAACTATTTAAAAGTTGTGTCTGAGCAGGTGAATAAATTAAAGATAAATATTTTTACAAAGTATGTTATCCGTAAAAAGAATTTAACTATATTTTTTTTACAATTTGATAAAAAGGTCGTCGTCGTCTCGAATTTCGTACATTTTATGCGTTTTTTTCGATTTATTCCCTTTCAATGTTTACATCGGGAAGAGGTTTTTTTTAATTTGCTTAGTAACTTAATTTCAAAAGTGTTAAACTGTCAATATTGTTTTTCTTTTCCTAAACTCTCTAGCTGTATACGTTACGGATAATAGACATAATCCAGTTAGGTGTACAGCCAGTAGAAAAAAATATATAGGTTCGTACGCTAAGAATTTAATCGCATAGCAACACTTTATACCAAATTTTCACCAAACTCCAATATCATGTTTTTTCTCATCGTTTGGTATATTAAGAGGGAAGCGATGACAATATACTGTGATTTGGGGTATTTCAATTGATTTTCATCATTACTATTTACGAGAACCTTTTCTTTTGAATTTGTAATCAATAGCATTCTTGCGGAAAATGTCCAAATGAATATTTTTTCACTAGATTGCCCACTGAACTACACCTGGAGGAGTTCACAGACGTTCTGTTGTCGTGTTTTAATTTTATACAAAGTCTACATTGTAACTGTATCTAAGAATTCATTAAATTTATTCAATTACGGAATGTCATTAAAAAAGAATATATATTGTTTGGTCTGCCAAGTGCAAGAGAAATATCTTTCAAGATTATTAACCTTATTTCATCAATAATAAAATCGTCTTTGCGAGTTACTGTGAAACAAACTACTGTAGGGGTGGTGTTTATCGCATTCACCGAGCATTACTTGAAATAAAGGCTACAGTAAAAAATTTGTTCCAAATCTTGACTAACATCTATGAACCGTCATGGAATTTACCCACTGATTATCCCGTTTATGTTGTACTAGTCGCAGCCAGAATCAAGTCGTGGTTTTCTCCATTACACCGAAATACAACGTATCATAGAATGTTTACTTGTCAGGAGGAACACGATAGATGACACTAGTGAAGCAGGAACTAGATATCTTTTTTAGAACAGACGTGTACAGTCTCGTAGTTTTTTCTGTCGTTCATGTTGCTTGTTCTAAAAAAAATCATGTGGTGTTATATTGACTGTTATTTGTCTTTTTTATCGTTTTGCTTTTTGGCCAAGACATTTTGTTTCCTACTTATTGTTTTGTTTGCACCCCTTTATGACATGTTTAATTTGCAAGAAAGGTAAACCAAAGCTCTTACCAGACATTCGTGAAGGCTGCTGTCATTGTCGTTTTCAAAAGCACTATCCAAGATTTCTAATAGAACCTGCAATAAAAATTTAGTAGATCGAGTTCTGTTACACCACTGTCCCTTGTTATGTCAAAAATGAACGCCGCCATATTCTGTATGTGACTGTCATAAATCAGGAGCCTGTAATTTAGTGATTGTCGTTTGTTGCTGTATATCATATGTTGTTTTTGTTAATTGTGTTGTACTTAAATCAGGCCGTTAGTTTTCTCGTTTATTTTACGTTTGTCATGTTATTTTATAGGTTGCTATGCTGCATGATGTTCGTTTATTCTTGTAGGTCATATGGTTATCTTTAGTTGCTAACTTTTGTATCATTTGCTCTCTGGTGGAAAGATGTCTTATTGGTAACCATACCACATCTTCTTATCTTTATATTAAAAAACTTGAATGGGCTTTTTATTATTTTCATTCTGTCAATAGATCTACAAAGTTCAGGAGTTAAAATCAAAAATTTTAAGAGAATTTGCGACCTACTACGTATACCAGGCATATATCGCATTTTTATTATTTGTTTTGACACATAGATTATGTAGATTAAAGAAATCAAACAAATTAACTTCAATTGAATTGTTTTTGTTGATCGTGAGCATCTTTAAATAAAGAAGTAAAAGCGTTTCCTGCATTTGGTAAACACTTGCTAATATATTATGTGTAGGTGTTAGGTTGTAAGGTTAACATAATCTGGAATACAAATGTGGACGCCATGTTTTCATGGCTGCATCGTCTTCAATTGTGTACGGTTATCAAACGTTATGGTAGTAAACAGTCCCTTACAGTGTGTTAAAACACCTATCAACAACGCATTAATAATATTATTGAACGTTAGAACGTAACACACCAAAGGGAATGACAATCGTCTAAATAGAGCTAGCTAGATTTATAAAAGTTATTTTAGTACAAATACTGTTCTTTTGATATGAAACTGTCACTGTATAAATAAAGGCAAAAGTAGTATACCGCTGTTCGAAATTCATAAATCGATTGAGAAAAAAACAAATCCGGGTTACAAACTAAAACTGAGGGAAACACATCAAATATAAGAGGAGAACTACGACACAACAGAAACACAACATTAAAATGTAACACACACAGAAACGAACTATAATATTACAATGGCCATTTTCCTGACTTGGTACAAAAAATGGTTGGTTGAACCTGGTTTTTTGGCTAGCCAAACCTCCCGCTTTTATGGCAATGTTAAATATAACATTAAAATGACAACATTACATGACAGGACTACTATACAAATTAATGGGAAAACATATAGGACAGAGAAACATACGAATAATAGCTAACAAAAGGTACCAGGTTTAAAATTTAATACACAAGACCAGGTTTAAAATTTAATACACAAGACCAGGTTTAAAATTTAAAACACAAGACGCGCGTTTCGTCCACACAAGACTAACCAGTGACGTTCAGATAAAAAAAGTTCGAAAGCCAAAACAAGTTCAAAGTTGAAGAGCATTGAAGACCAAAAGTTCCTAAAAATTGTGCCAAATACGGCTAAGGTTATATGTCTGGGATAAGAAAATCCTTAGTATTTAGAATAATTCATACTTTTGCAAACAGTAAATTTATAAAAATGACTATATGATAGATGTACATGATAGCACCGAAGTGGTGACTAACTACAGAATAAAAACGGATACATAAAACAACATAAACAAGCACATAAAAATTCACAGCGGAGTTAGCCAAAGAGATCGACGCAAAAAAAGTGACGTCACATTTGAATTTCTGAAATTTCCCCAAAATAGGATAGAATTAGGATAAAATTCAAGATTTGGTTTATAATACTAATATAACATTTATTAAAAACAAGCCAGTTTTCAAATAAAAGTGCTCGATCGACTGGTTGGTTTTAAAATGGAAGTGTGCAATTGATAATATCTACAGCATCACAATACGTTTGTTTAAAGTAGAGAGTTACCTACATCTTACCTTCAAAAAGACCGTGTAGTCAATCACTTTTATATAGTTTGTAAAAATTCTTGCTACTGCCTGTGTCATATTGTCCATTCCGTCCACATTACACTGAACATTGATTTGGTGTGCAAACTATATTAAAGTAAAAACAAACGCAAAATTGTTTTGATGCCAGACAATAACTTTCATGAAATAAACACTTTATATATTTCATGCGTCCCAAGCACCTTTTTAGATTTACCTCCATCAGGAACACTCATGGCCCAAGCACCTTTTTAGATTTACCTCCATCAGGAACACTCAAAGCCCAAGCACCTTTCTAGATTTACCTCCATCAGGAACACTCAAAGCCCAAGCACCTTTCTAGATTTACCTCCATCAGGAACACTCAAAACCAACATTTTTGAAGCCAAGAATGCCTTAGTATTGAAACACTTAAAAAGCTATATGACCAAAAGGGAACTTAAATAATAACCAAATTCTTCTAAAGTCAACTTAGACAGAGGTTTTTCGGACCTTAGTTGTCTTACGGAGGACACAACTCTTGTCTTGTCATTTTTATGTTGTTAAGTTGATATTAAGCTAACGACACATTTTTGCTTATTTTGCCTTTTATTAACACATATTTTTCTTATTTGTTTATATATATTAAACCAAATAGCCAAACAATATCAAATAAATTAGAGTAAACTATGCAAAACTCACAAATTGATGCATCGCCACTTGCAAAGTCCGTGCTTTGGTAAGCGAACTCCAATATCAATTGATAATTGAGATATAAAACAAGAAAGGAGGTGCACAATGACATTTTATGTAACGATTCTGAGCAAATTTCACCAAAATTTGATTTCGAGTTTAGAAAAAGAAAGGGATATAAATATGAACTCTAGTGTGTACATGATTTACTGAAGGAAACCGCATTAAAGTATTCTAATCATAAAATATAATAAGAAGCGCACTATAGCATTTTATGGTTAAGATTGTCACATTGTTTCAATAAATTGAAATAAATTGCACAGGGGGAGTTTCGGATACAATTTAGGTAGCACCCAAATTAAACAATAGCCATGTATTGGTAAGAAAACCAAAAACATAAATCTCTCACAGAAAAGTCATTTTTTTCTTTATAGGCGGCAACCCTCTTTCAAGGAAATCATGATAGGAAATCAAGCTCTGGAATATCGTTTCAACTCGAAGATTCATTATTCAGGCGCTGCTGGAAGGTTGCTACATAGAAATGAATTTTGGCTAGCAACAAAACCAGTTTCAACCCACCATTTTTTTTCTTAAAATGTCCTGTACCAAATCAGGAAAATGGCCATTGTTATATTATAGTTTGTTTCTGTGTGTGTTACATTTTAATGTTGTGTTTCTGTTGTGTCGTAGTTCTCCTCTTATATTTGATGTGTTTCCCTCAGTTTTAGTTTGTAACCCGGATTTGTTTTTTTCTCAATTGATTTATGAATTTCAAACAGCGGTATACTGCTGTTGCCTTTATTTATCCACTGCGGTAAATTCAGTATTGTTCAGAAAATTTGCTGGCAGTCAATTAAGATCTGTTCAGTCCATTTTCAGACTGTTCATTATAATTAAAATAAGGAGATGCGGTATGATTGCCAATGAGACAACTATTTACCAAAGTTCACATGAAGTGGATGTAAGCAAACATAGGCAACCATACGGCCTTCAACAATGAGAAAACCCATACCGTATAGTCGGCCATAAAAGGCCCCGACATGAAAATATGAAACAATTCATTTGAGAAAACTAACGGCCTAATTTATAGCAAAACAGTTTACGAAAAAAATATATGACAGACAAACCAACGTCAACCACTGACCTCGGGACAGGTACATAAAGAATGTGGCGGGGTTAAACATGTTTGTGAGCGCTCAACCCTCCCATAACCTGGGACAGTGGTGCAACAGCATAACATAAGAACAAACTATGAAATTAGTTGTTTTTAACCTTTTCAAATCAACATTATACTGAATTTTCTAAAAAGCTACTAAATAGTACTGAATTGACTGCAAGCGAGTTGTCTGAACAGTACTGAAATTACCGCTGTGGAAAATGTACTACAAGACTGAACATGACTGAATAATTAATTGTTCAGTCCTTTCCAGATGATGTTAAGATGAAAATGACCGTTCAAGACTTAAATTTGTTTACGAGAGTGTGTGATATTCAAACCTGCAATGCATCTCTTTCAAGATGATATTGCCTATCCTGAAGAGAAAATGTGGTCATGTTGTCATTGATATTATGTGTTGTGAGCCCAGTTGCTGCATCGTTGGTAGATATCTTGTAAGAAGCTGTAAACAATTCAGTGATGTTGTTTTCATCTAACGAAGATGATATCGTCACCGTTGATTTTTCGTCTATTGTTGTTATTGCATCGGTTGTTGTTGCTTCATCTGTTGTTATATACGATAGTCTTCTGCCAGACACTATTCAAATAAAAGCACAAACTACTATATAAATAAGAAGATGTGGTATGAGTGCCAATGAGATAACTCTCCATCCAAGTCACAATGAATAAAAAGTTAACATTTATAGGTCAATGTACAGCCTTCAACACGGAGCCTAAGCTCACACCGAACAGCAAGCTATAAAGGGCCCCTAAATGACTAGTGTAAAATAATTCAAACGGGGAAAACTAACGGTCTAATCTATATAAAAAACGAGAAACGAGAAATGAACCACATCAACAAACGACAACCACTGAACAACAGGCTCCTGACTTAGGGCAGGTGCATACAAATGCAGCGGGTTTAAACGTTTTAACAGGCGCCAACCTTCACCCTAACCTTAAACAGTAGCGTAACATTACAACATAAAAAGACACACTATAAAATATCAATTGAAATGGCTTAACTCGATCAAAAAGACATTTAAACAAAAAGCAAGTAAGCATATACTGAACGAATAAATTTGACCTATGACACAATATAAATACAATATTAATAAAAAAAGATACGAAACAATGTCAAAAAGACAATCTCTAACCTAGGACAAAATGGCGTTAAATAAAATAACGTACACAGGCAAATTAAAGTATAATAATTTTGTTGTTAGGAGTACGGAAATATTTTTTACAAAATTTGTTGTTCACAGTACGAGTACAGAAATGAAAATTTATCGTCATACTAAATAATAATCAAAGGTGGTACAAATTAAAAATAGTGAGACGAGATATAACACAAAATAAGTAAACATTGAATAACAAAAATGCATTACAAATTGTGTCAACAGGTAAAATAATTTTCTATTCCATAATGTTGATAGGTTAAGATTTATTTTTCTTTTCCATTTCATTTTGAATAACATTTTAGAATATTTTTTATCTATTATTTGGAGACTCGATAAATCAGAAATTAACTGTTGAAAAGTGTTGTTATATACTCGCTGTTTTAAAAATCATGGAAAAGTAAATGTCAGTTAATAAAATCGCTTTTATCTAATTAATAAATGAAACATAACAATTTTCCAAAGGTTATTTTTTACGATGTACTCATTGACATATTAGATTTTAAATAATCAGAAGTAAAAAGATCGTCTCGAACGCTATTTAGATATGATAGATGGTCTATACGTTAACTAACAGTCTTTTCAAACTAGATAAGTATATCGTCCAAACATTGCACATATATTTTATGCATACTGATTTAATTCAAACTATCGTACTAAGAATTCATCTTATTTATCCAATGGCACAATAGAAATATGTTTTCGAGATAACTGAAATTAAAAACTCACCAAGTTGACAAATAAATCCAATTTGTTCATCACATGATCGCTGAGTCCATACCGCTTTCCGTTGACTTACATCTGGTTGCAAAGCTATACACTGTTTCGAGGTTGGACTGAAACATTGGAAAAAAGTTAAATTACAAAAATACTGAACTCCAAGGAAAATCCAAAACGGAAAGTCCCTAATCAAATGGCAAAATCAAAAGCACAAACACATCAAACGAATGGACAACAACTGTCATATTCCTGACTTGGTACAGGCATTTTCTTATGTAGAAAATGGTGGATTGAACCTGGTTTTATAGCGCTAAACCTCACTTGTATGACAGTCGATCTTGAAATTGGAATTGACAGATCAGAACAACACAATCAATTATGTTGCTTTCCTTCTTTATTGCAACATTTTTCTCTTATTTATCACTCGTGTTTAACTGATATTTTAAGGTGTGATTACAGCATTTTTCAACCGTAAAGTTTAAAACCAAAAAAACAATATTTCAAATATCAGAGGTTTAAGTTGTGATTGAATCAAGCAAAACATGTTAAGAATGACAAAACAAAACGCTTGACTATAACAACCAACGGAACGTAATAACTAAAAACTACTGTCATACTCCTGAATGGTATCAGGCAATTTCCAGAGAAATTAAGATAGTGTTGTATTCGCAAAGATGTTACATCAAGCGTGTCAACAAATTAATCGTCCTGAGTATGCGTAAAATATTTGTATATATACGACAATTAATAAATCGAAGCTGGAGGGTATAATTGAATAATTTCTGAGATCAAACGGTAAAAGTTTATCAGCTAATTCCAGATGTCAGTCAAAATATAAAAAGAAGTCTTCGATCAACTGAGACGTACGATCATGGTTGATTTCTTAATAATAGTCTTTGAACTTGAAGTACTCATGCCTGACGAAAAGACCTTCTTGCATATCTTATTAACTAGCATATGCAAAACTCCTTAGGTTTTGACGAGTAGTATGTGACGAGCAACGAGAAAAGTGATTCGTCATTGACCAGAGGCGTATGGTTTGTTCATCATTGTCAACCTCTAGAAATAAAACAGACTTTGATAACAACTTTCATGTCTCCGTATAATCCTCAGCTTGAATAAAATTATATGAAAGAGCAACCTATAATAAAACAGTATTCGTCTTGCTTTTTGAAAATGTTTTTTATTGATATGAAAAATAAGGAAATGTGGTGTGACTGCCAATGAGATAAATATCCACAAGAGTAAAAAAAGACGTGGATATAAGTAACTATATGTCACCGTACGGCCTCAACAAGATACTTATAGTCAGCTGTAGAAGGCCCCAACGTGACAAAATGTGAAAGAATTCAACGAAAAAGTCTAAAAGCATGCTTCTTGTTTGTTCATGAACAGATGAACAGGATGATATGCGAGGATACATGAGTGCTTGTACTATTCCAACTGGATATTGAAATACAATCACCATATTCAATAAATATCAAAAGCACCTAACACTTAAATGAATATTGAAGATTTAGAACTCAAGCAGTTCTGAAACGTATATATCAGTACATTTTGTAAAGAATAATTGTGTTTTCAGAGAGTAAGATTACAGATAAAAAGCGATTTTTTGCTTTAACAAATCTTATAGAAAAATATTTTAACAACAAACTCCTCTGAGGTATCATTACCAGCGGTAAATGATTCTGAAAATGATTCGTATTCGTTTCTAAAGGTACTCGGACATATTTAAATATACTGCACGATGTAAATAGAAATTTCCTTGTTCTTGAAAGTTCTAACGTTTTCCTCCTATGTCACTAAAATCTACCACATAATCAAATTCTTTCATCGCTTGTAGCCTCACATTTATAGTCATTGCTCTGAATACTAATATGAAAATAAGATGATATGGTATAAATAACAATGAGACAATTATCCACCAAAGACCAAATGGTGTAGATGTTTAGTTCACAGTACAGTCTATAACAATGAGCAAAACCCATACTGTATAGTCAGTTATAAAAGGCCCCACAGGACAAAATATAAAACAATTCAAACGTAAAAAACAACGCTATGATTTAATGTTCAAAACAATAAAAAAAAAATAATATGATAGAAAGCAACCGACGATGACCATGCTTTTATATATATAATCTATCATAACTTACCAAGAAAAGTAGATATTAAGGACAATAAAAACACATAATTCGAAAAAGAAAGACAAAACAAAAAAAGGACGAATAAACAAAATCATTTGGTTTTTCATGACAAGTAATAATTTCATTAATGGGTAAAACTTGCTCGAAAAAATACGAGAAAAAAATAAAAACATAACGACATATTTATGGTGTTTACCCAACATATACCCAAAAGCTTGTTTTGTGGTGTATTGTCGAGGATGCTCTTGTAACTTATCATGTCTTTGATCTTAATTACTACTCACGAAAATGTGTGTTGACTTGATATAACTTTGGCTGCTGCTGTTCCATTGACCCAGGTAAATAATTTGTTTGAATCGTTGTAGTAAAGTCCTATCCACAAATCACTGTTTAAGCTGTAATATAATAATTCAATGCAATTGTCTACTCATAATACTCGCTAAAAATCTATCTCCAAAGTAAAACAAACTCAAATGTCATAAAAAAATATATGCATGGTTAAAGATGTAAATATGAATGAAATCAAATCAGAGGTTCGGTAGTCATTTTTGTGTTATTTTTTTTTAATCTAACACATCAAACATATTAAAAAAAAGTCTGAATCGCCTTCCTCTCCTCATTTTTCAAAGATGAACATGTAACCAACCGATTGTTTTGCAAATACTAATCAAAATGTGATAGATTGATTTATTCATTGTGGTTTGATTAACGTCCATTCCTAAATGTATACAGGAGAGAAGTTACGAGGAAGCCATTCCCCTGGTAGCCAGTATTTCGGTATTGGCATATTTTGAATAAGACATCTGGTCTGAAATTTCACTTTAAAGCTTTATAAACTTGTCCTCAAACTACGCTTGCGGCTCCCTTAGCCAGAGTTAAATTCTGTAACTATTTCAGAAGTTATGTCTGGACCATTTTCGTTTCGTTTCGTTTTATGCCCTCTAAGTTTCATTTGTTTTTCTAAGCTCTTGATCTCAATGGTGCTAGATGATGGAATTATTTGTAATTAACAAAAACGGTATTTTAAGTAGGTGCTACAGAATTCGTCGTTCGTTAGGAATGGCCGGAAATTTGGAATGCTAGTGGAAAATAATGACATCTACGGACCTTGAAGATTTATTGCAAGGATACACTAACCTTCAAGCAGGTTGTGTTTTACCTACACGGTGACTTGGATTTAACGTTTCAATTCAAACTAAATGTGGCAGTCATTTTTGTCATCCTTCACAGCTAAACGGACAAAGCATTTTGGAGAGTTGATTCTCTTTGAGATCGGTATTTTTGTTATGCTTTTTTATGAAAAAAATGAAACACATTTCTTTATCATGCAGACAACAGTTGTTAGATTATTAATCACAGCTTACTGACATGTTTATCAAAAACACGAAAATTCTGCTTGCTTATTAATTTGATGAATAAAAAAACAAAGAGACTGTTGTTTACTGGGTAAATTGCTAAACATTCAATAATGAAATTGAATTGTTATCTATAATAGAAGGTGTCATATCATATTCTTAGTGTACCTGACGCTGATATTTTTTAACATCTGTAATTCAGTATTGCTATCCCATAAAACCAGATCAGCGTTGTTGTTTTCACAGTATTCTCGGGCTTTGTGCCAAGTTGTGTTTCCCTGTTTTGTCAATATACAATGATAGCTTGGTGTTAACAGCCATTCATCTGCATTTTCACATTCTACAAAAACAGTGAATTGGTCAGGAGCTGATTAAATTTCAAGGTGCTTTAAATTGTGTTATTTTCATGACTAACCCATCTCCTCTTTTTTTATATTCTTTGTGTTATATATTTGGTTATATTTATGTACATAATGTTATTTAAGTTCACTTTATTTGTTTTTCATTTTATAAAGTTAAATTATAGAACGGAAATATAACGTTATATATTTTTGTGTCGCAATTGTTAGCGGAAGGATTTTCTGAACATAGGTGTGCACACATTTTTTGCCCCTGCCGTAGCGGAGGGGGCATTAAATGTTACCCTTGTCCGCCCGTACAAACGAACGTACTTACGTCCCAAAATTGGCCTCCGTTCTCTAACTTTAGTTTGTTCCAACCAAAATTATGAAACTTATACACAATGCTTATTACCACAAAATTCAGATCAAGTTCGAATTTGGGTGGCGTCACTTTTTACCGTTCTTGACTTATGTCCCTTTATAACGTTATATGCAAGCGGGGGCATCATCTGTGTCTCATGGACACATTCTCAATTAAGTTTTTAATTTTTTAACGTGTTTGATAAATGTTCAATGCAGTTAGTACTTAAGACTTCATATTTGAATTGTTTTACGTTAAATATTACAGAGCTTTTAAAAGCTTGCTATGCGGTGTGGGATTTGCTCATTGTTGAAGGCCGAACGTTGACTTATAGTTGCTAGCTGTTATGTCATTTGGTCTCTGGTGGAAAGAAGTCTCATTGGCAATCCTACCACATCTTTTTACTTTTGTATTGTCTGTTCTTTGTTCTCAAAACCGGATGTGTATTGAGAAAAAACATGCAGTTGCAGTCCACCACGTACCTGTATGTTGCAGTCTGAAAAGAACCTCAGAATCTGGTTGTAGGCCGACACGTACCTTTGGTTTGTGGCTTAAGCCTGACACGTACCTGTGGGTGCAGCCTGACATACAACAGGATGATTGTTGCTGCAGTTTGTTTCATACCAGAATCTTCTATCCATCATGACGCATTGGCCATCATCTGGTATCAAATAAAACCAGTAATCATTTTGAAAGTATCTACAACTAGTATTTTGCAAATACTTTCTTTTTAAGGTGTATACTGTTATCTTATATAAAAATGAGGAGATGTGGTATAATTGTCAATGAGACAACGATCAATCAAGAGTCAAAATGAAGTGGTAGTAAGCTATTATAGGCTACATAACGGCCTTCAACAATGAGAAAGGCCCTCGCATGAAGAACAATTCAATAGATAGAACTAACGGCCTAATTTATAACAACTTACGAAAAACATATATGAGATATGAACCAACGACAACCACTGTACTACAGACTCCTTACTTTGGACAGGCACATACATAATGTGGCGGGGTTTAACATGCCTATTTTAGGTATAAGCTAACTTCTAATAAAAAGGGGGAAATATACCAGAGAGGAAAAGGGATAGAAAAAGTGCACAAAAATTATTGATAATTATATTTTAATTATAATTAAATTATATTTGTCCTTAACTGTATCGCATTTCATATTACAGCTTTTCCTTTTTACCTTATCAAAAAACCGTAACTAAAATACAGATTTTGCTGTAAAATTTATTTTATGTTCTGGTTGCCTGATTATCTTTACAAACAACATCTTGATGATTTCATATGTAAATTAAAAAAAAGCATTCTTATAACGGAACTATAAACAACTATCATACAACTGGGAGGATTAGCTAGCTATAAAACCAGGTTTAAATCATAATTTTCTACGGAAAATGCTTGTACCAAGTCAGGAAAATGACAGCTGTTTTCCACTGCTTCCGTTAGTTAATAACGTTGACTTTGTCAGTTTTTATGGAATTCCCCTTTTTGAACTTACCTTGGAGTATTTTTGTTATACTTTTTTCCTATTTGAAATATATCAAGTTTAACATGCACATGTAGTTATTGTACCTTGTGTTTGGTCTTTAAAACTATTATACTGGTTACTCTGACCGTCTGTCCATGTCCAACCAGTTTTCTGAAATGTATAATGTATCTTCCTGACGTACAAACATTAGTAGTCTATATCACTACATATTTGCTTAAATCAGAATTTTTTTATAGACTTTGTATAAATATTCTTTACATCAAAATACCTTAAAGACCATCAGTTTTTGTGGACAGTTATTTTCGAAAACGAGGTCAATAAAATGGCATGCATGCGACATTGTATTGCGTTCGTTATTTGTCATTCACGGGCCATTTCATCTGTACAGAATATAGCACGAAACTTACTTATCTATAATATGTAGCTATTATTACCCTACATCCTGTTAACTTATATTTTGGCATTGCTCAAGGTCAGGCGTTACTCAGTCTTTTTATGACGTCTTGTAAACCCGTGTAATGGAGGGGGTCTATTTGAGCAGTGCTCACAGTATTTCCAGTTGATCATATATATTCATTGAAAGCATAAAGACGAGCTAAAAGACGATCGGCGTATCAAGCGCTCATGGCGCAGCTCTTTATTCGTAAATGGTTTTGATATAAATTGGGCCATTAGTTTTCTCAGTTGAAATGTTTCACATTTTTCATGTCGTGCCCTTTTATAGCAAACTAAACGGTATGGGTTTTTCTCATTGTTGAATGCCGTACGGTTACCTATAATTGCTCACATCAACTTCATTTGAACTTTGGTGGATGGTTGTCTCGTTGGCAATCATAACACATCTCCTTATTTTTATATTATAAACGATATTGTCTTACATTTGCTTTCAACCCGATCCATACGTCATCATTCATATCAGAAAATAAATTCTTCTGAACTTCGGTTTGCTGAGGTATGTCGTCAAACTGTACAAGATGACCATTAATGGTAATACAATGGTCTCTGGCATCCTCCCAAGACATAGGGGTATGTTCTACTTTGTAGCATTGATCCGAAAGCCACGTCCATCCTTGATAGCATGTGCCAAGATTGCTAGATGATGCTGAAGGGATTAATTCATTATCATTTTAAAATCAGAAATGTTTTCAGTTCAGAGAAAGACAACAAATATGCACATCTTGATATTTCAGACAATAAGTGAACAGATACCAGTAGAATAATACGAAATGATATCGCATTCAACAATACTCTTTGTCCCCAAAAGCAAGATAAAGCTCTAAAACTTAATCGCTGATAGAGAAATATCATTACCGCTCGCTGTACTCCCGTTTATATTTCGTACAGCAAGTCTAAATAAATAATATGATTATAGAAGAACAAGAATGTTAAGGAATTTATACGAAAAAAAGCGAAGAAAATTAGTAGGTATTTCTTAGGATTAAAAGAAATTTCGGATATTCGACAATGAGACGGCAACCTAACGGACACAAAACACCAAAAACATGGCAAAACAAAAACAAAGCAACAGAACATCACAATAAACTAAAGAACAATAACACTAAGTCATAAAAAATAGTCCCTTTTAAACACAAAATAAAAAAAAAGAAAGCTGCGGTGTACAAAAGATTGCATTTATGAATAATAGCCAATATCTGTGTAGAAATGTTTTTGAAGTCTCATAACTTACGCAATACCTTACGGAATCACTGAGTTTAAAGCACATTTCAGTATAAACATGTTATTTAGCCTTTTACCACAATCACCAAGAAGCTTTTATTCTATGAAGTAATAAAATGTTCAAATCTTGTCACATTATCTAGTTTCATGGCGGATATTTGGAGACATATGTACAGTATTTATTAACCAGTTAAAACTAAGAGATATGGGTCTGCAAGTTATTTGTTTAATTTTGTTCTCTGATCTCCTTTTGGAGTTCATGCGATTCCCTCAGTTTCTGTTTGTGACCTTGGTTTGTCTCTACCTAATCGATTTACGAGATTTGAAATGTATTTATCAAAGTTGTACAAAAATCGAACATGTAAAAATGTTGTTTGTTTATAGTTGAATAGTGTTTGGTTAATTATAGTAAGGTCAGTTCGATTGGGATATTGAGTTCATGCACGAGTGAACTCAGGTGGTTAAAAGTCATCCGAGCCATTGCAGTCAAAGTGTACAGTAGCATTTTGCCAAATAAATAATATTATTAATTATATTATTTATTTTCAGATTTGTAGACCACTGTGGTTATTTGATAAATATTTTATGTTCGTTTGAGTTTACGAATTAGAATTTAACATCGATTAACTACTGTTGCCTTAGTTTATATTTATCGTTGTATAAATGAAGTATTTTCAGAATCTTTAATATAATACAATGTAATCCTATTTATAATCCCACCTCACAGTTCTAATCTGGTTAATTGATTACTTGTCATTTACTTAATGTTTAATACGAAATATGTCAACGTCAAATAAAACAGCAACATATGAAGAATTACTTTGTAACAACAGCAATATTAGATTATTATATTATACTGATAGCTGCTATCGCAGGTTTATTAAACATTATACTTGCCGTCAGTGCTTGTTATATGTTCAGATCACGATTTCCTCAAACTAAAAATACTACTTTGTAAAAAAACTTTTTGCACTCCTAGGGTAGTAAGAGTAGAGAACTATATCGCTGCAATATAATTATTTCAGAAGTCTACTTTGATACGATCAAGCAAGTAAAAATTATTTTACAAAGTTGATGAGATAAAGGAGGAAAATGACAATTCTGTTTTATAGAAGATGAAGGAAGTGGTGTAAGGTATTACATGGTAATGTGCCTTTGTAAAAAATATGCTTTATCTTTGTTTAAATGTGGCATATGTATTTTTAACGGACACACCACAGAATATTGTTCAATGTAACTTTACTTTCCTCTCTAGACAATATCTGACAATATTTTCATTCCATGGTTTTTGGTTCAATTAGTTCAATTATACTTTTGAGATATCCCCCGGTATTGTTGAGTTACTATACCACTTTGGTCTATACTTAGATATCCCGGTATTGTGGAGTTACTATACCACTTTTGTCTATATTTAGATTTCCCCCGGTATTGTGGAGTTACAATACCACTTTGGTCTATATTTAGATATCCCCCGGTATTGTGGAGTTACTATACCACTTTTGTCTATATAAGCCCGGTATTGTGGAGTTACAATACCACTTTGGTCTATATTTAAGTATCCCCCGGTATTGTGGAGTTACTATACTACTTTGGTCCATATTTAGTTGTTATCACCTACCGGTACATATCAGGCTGTAAGCAGTAAACACTATTACCTGCAAGTAAACAACATCAATTGGTATGTGTGGAATAATGCAACAATGGGAAATGTTAGAATGGAAACATATAAATACTGCTGTACATGAAGCATAATATAGTCTGCTGCATAATCAAATCTACATCTCAAGCTTCGACGCCAATCTTTTTAAAAGAAGTGTTGTCTGTGTTCACTATACAAAACTATCCCTTACCTGGAAATCATCTGCGGCTAAAAGCATTCCAGCAGCCATTACATATGGAGTGTTTGTATACACCCCCAGATGAATCAAAAATCCGGAACTTGCGTTTGACTACCATTATTTCCTTGATTGAGGGTTGCCACTTACAATGACGCTATTGGACCTAGGGATATAATCCGTTCGAATGTTTTACGGACGTCATCAAGATTTGACTGACCCTTTTGGAATATGTCTGTCAGAGATGACCACTGTTATGGTCGAATTGTCGATGTCACAATCCTGTCCTCTTTTCCTCGATTGTGATATCACCAAGTTTACTTGATAAGAGCAATAAGACAGGTGACACTAGCGGGTTTTTGGTTTCTGCTGCTCAGTTTTTTGTAGTGTTTTTCGTCGTTTCTTTTCTTGGCTATGGTATAATTATCTGTACAGTTTGTCTTCGACTTATTATTTCTATTATTACCTTCGTACGTGTATCTTCTTTTTCTAGTTTATATGGAATTCCCAACATTTGTGTTCAATGCATACTTGACGAAGAAAATTTAAGAACCACGTGTCATGCGCAGTTCACCACTGACCGACAGTTTATTTACGGTCCATCAGTAGAAGTTCAGGAAATGCTGATGAAGATGAATGGTGTAATCAAATAAATTTTTGTCTCACTCAAAGTGGTCTTGTTTTTATTCACATTTAGAAAGTATAGCGATTTCGAAAACGGTTCTGCTTGACGAAACCAGCTGACATTGAGATACTGCCTTAATTAACTAATCTTTTAAGGTCGAGGTTTTCACTTTAATTTTCTATATACACTATAATATAATTCAATGTGAACGTAGACAATGACATGCAACTACAATGTATTATAATATTTGATAAAAGGATAAATTAATCAGAATCTCTGATGACATCTTATGAATCTTTATTGGAATAGAAAGAATTTGCAGGAGATAACTACAAACAAGTGTGAAACAAATAGGGACTTTATTGCTTTTCGTCAACTTGACAGGGAATATTTAGAGCGAATTATTTGAGACCGGTTTTTGAGTTTTATTTAAAAATGTCAAGGTAAGATTTATGTGAATAAAAGGCGATTTGGGGGTAAACGTATATAGCACTACAAAAGTCAAAAAGTCTGAAAAGACCAGTTTTTGTCTGAATTTGCATGAATTTTTACTCGACATTCTTAATTTGTCTGAATAATTTTTAAAAATTCTTGACATAGTATGAATTTGTCTAATAAAGTTCTTGATTTTTCTTGACAAGTGTCTTGACAGTATGAACATTGTCTTAAAATTTCTCGACACTTCCTGTATCATCTGATAAGAGTCTGGATTAGTCTCGACCAATTCTTGACCGTCTTAAATTTGTCTCGATCTGTCTTGACATATTCTTGACATTCTAAATAATGTCTGAATATGTCTCGACATATTCTTGACATTCTAAATAATGTCTGAATATGTCTCGACACATTCTTGACAGTCTTAAATATGTCTTGACACTATCTCAACAGTATAAATTTCGCCTGAAATGTGAACAGACTTATTCTGCACTGTTTATGACATTCTATTGCTGTTGTATACTCCTTTTTATTATGGCTAAACTAAACTTTGAAGAATCAAGGATTAATTTGGTATAGTAAGATACCCTTTTGGTGCAACTAAGTTGGAATACCCTGAATAATCCCCCATGTAGTTTAATTTTGATTTATTTTTATTAAAAATTTAAGTAATTGTTTTCACTTGGAATATAAGTCGAAGGTATTGACAAACAGCATTTAGATTTTTGCCGTTCGCAAAACTGCCAGTCAAATTTGCTTTACTAAAATAGGTGTCTTGTATCTCTTTTGGACCCCACAATTCATCTTTTGGGTTTGTGTGGCTAAAAAAAGAGGGGGGGGGGCTTTCGTTTATGTCAAAGAATTTATTCCCATCTTGATTCAAAAACCTTATTCATTTTTTAGAACAACCCAAAAACATTTTTTATTCAAATTTGAGTGTTGAATTTTTGGTAAACGGACAGAAAGTCACAGGACAGAAAGTCACAAAGTTGATAGGACAAAAAGTCACAGGACAAAAAGTCACAAATAATGTGTTGCCAATTGTTTGAATATATTAGAGAAAAATCTTGAAAAATATTCTTTTTATTTCATATATTCATTTTACAGTTTAGGACATTGTTCATTAAGCCTTGATAAATGAAAAATAATTAGATTTTAACGATCTTTAACCATGCAAAGGATATATTTCTTGGCACAATGAAGCCATTTTAGTACCAAGCCACTTTGACATTTTGTTTACTTAACAATTATTTGATCATTATTGAAATTTATTAAATAAATTCTAAGTACAAAGTTGCTTTATATATATTAGTTCAAGAAAAATTTAATTTTTTTTTTTTTCTAAATAAGTGTTTTCTTATTCAAAGAAAAATAATCTCAAAACTGAATTGTGACTTTTTGTCCTGTGACTTTTTGTCCGTGACTTATTGTCCTGTGACTTTCTGTCCTACATTCGAATTTTATAATTTTTTATCAAAAATAAATATTTGTGATAACTCCTTCATGAAAAGAAAAAAATGTTTAGATCTATATTATGCATATCTGTTTGAGAACCATTT